TTCACTTAGGCTTTGGTGAGTCCAGTAGTTTGAGCATTTCCTCGTCATGTGGAGGGTTTGACTCCTAAAATGGTTAAATTGTGTAAAACCTGTTTATGTTGTGCATTAGCATGTAACCATACACATTCACTCACTCACTCACTCACTCACTCACTCACTCACTCACTCACTCACTCACTCATTTACTTACTCACTCACCCACCTTCCTACCTTCCTACCAACCAATCCACTCACTCATTAACTCATCCACCCATCAACACACTCACTCACTCACTCCCATTGTCAAAAACTTACGTAAAGTACATTTTCATGTTAGCATTGTAATGAATATAATGTGGTTCTCGCATTACAGTGACGGAAATCACATTTTGGTTACAATCTATATATTTCTAGTAATAAGCACCAAGATAATGGATACAGTGTCATGTTTCTGCGTCAGTATTGCAGTGATGAAATATGTGAATTTGCATGAATCTGTCCCCATTGTCAGTATCCAGCTAGCATGTTGTCACCAGTTAACTCTCACAGTTAATGACTGCTATCAGAGGGGACGACCTCTTTAGCCGAAAACGGGCGTTATTGTTTCCCATAACCAATCACAACCATTTCCTTATTTGAAGTTTTAGAAATGTTTTAAACATTGTCATGACAACTGAGAATAAAGTACATTTTGTATGAAATATGAATGATGTTTGTAGGGCTGACCAATAACATACAGCTGTTGTTGGTAGGTTATCAGAGCTCCTTTCACTGTGTGATCTAAGTACTAAGACTTTTGAAAGTTGTATGGGTAGGCCTTTTAAAGATCATACTGTAATATTGACTTATATTGACAATATTTATAGCCTAAGGTGATGATAAGCTTTCATAGCTCTGACATCTCAGATAAGTGTGTCAACAGTCAGTGTTACAGTGAAGGAGTTACGATGATCTTAAAGATATGAGTGTGAACAGTCAATTTTACAGTAAAAAAGATACGATGATCTTAGTTTTAAGACTGTCATTAAGTCATTGTTACAGTAAAGGCGTTACGATGATCTCAGAGCTACGAGTGTCATCAGTCAATGTTACAGTGAAGGAGTTACGATGATCTCAGAGCTACGAGTGTCATCAGTCAATGTTACAGTAAAGGCGTTACGATGGCAGCCTTAAAACTAAGATCATCGTATTTCTTTTACTGTAACATTGACTGATGACACTCGTAGCTCAGATCATCGTAACTCCTTCACTGTAACATTGACTGATGACACTCGTAGCTCTGAGATCATCGTAACGCCTTTACTGTAACAATGACTTAATGACAGTCTTAAAACTAAGATCATTGTATCTTTTTTACTGTAAAATTGACTGTTCACACTCATATCTTTAAGATCATCGTAACTCCTTCACTGTAACACTGACTGTTGACACACTTATCTCTAAGGTCATCGTAACTCCTTTACTGTAAAACTGACTGATGACACTCGTAGCTCTAAGCATTGGTTATTCCTCTACTGTAATATCGACTACGTTCAGTCATAGCTGTGGGATGTCTTTGTGGAGCAGGGCCTTGAAACACATATTATATTTAGCCTTGGGTTGAAATGAGGCTAATGGATTGTCCAGTTGTTAGTTGTCTCAGTTAATGACTATTTTTACATTGATGGCCTCTTTAGTACAAGTGAAGGGCTGTCGTCCCAGACAAGCAGGCTTGTAATCAGTTCTTGATGGCAAGATGGCCGATCAGATAATTATGGAGCAATACTCACGTGTCCCTTCATTATTCTCTGTAGGTCCAATACATGACAAACCCACAACACAACCCGAAGAATATATTGAACATAACCTGTGGCTCTAAGAACATTGAAATTTGCTATAGTCAGCAATATTAAACACACCTTTCTGGTACATTATCGAACCCATCGATTTTCATGCCAATGCTTAATTATTCAAAGGATGTGTCCGGAGGGGCAAGTATACTTTGTTGGTTTTTACGTGAGATGAGATGAGATGGGTTGAGTATCATGTTCATAATGATTGCACTTACATTGTGACTTGTGTCAGTCTCTGTGAAGACAATGATATTTTTATAATGCCAGCCATTTTAAAACACTTCTGTTTGAAATAGTTCCCCGCTCAGACACAGTATATTGACTTCATTCAAGCCAGTTCTTGTTTTCGTTGGGGCAGTGGGGTAGCCTAATGGTTAAAGCGTTGTACAATGTGTGAAGCCCATTTCTGGTGTCTCCCGTCGTGATGTTGCTGGAATATTGCTAGAAGCGGCGTAAAGCCAAACTCAGTCAGTCTTGTTTTCGTTAGTCTAATCTCCTAGGGACATGGTTGGCCCAGTCTTCTAAAGGACCAGAATTCACAGTTCAGAGTTGTGTCCGTTGGTCATACCAGAAATCGGTGATTGTTGGTTCAAATCCTGGTCCCCGGTTGATGTTCCTGCAGTGTTACGACAAGTAGTGTAAGACGGTGGAAATCATAAAGGCTTCATTGGAAATATGTGTATCAAGAATATGTTGTGATCAGAGATGAGCGTGTGTTGTTTACATTCTAAAGTCATCTCACAGATGACATCTTTACCTTGTCAGTGTAGCAGGACATGGAGTTATCCCACAGATGACACCCTTTTCTTGTCAGTGTAGCAGGGCGTTGAGTCATCCCACAGATGACATGCTTACCTTGTCAGTGTAGCAGGACATGGAGTTATCCCACAGATGACACCCTTTTCTTGTCAGTGTAGCAGGGCGTTGAGTCATCCCACAGATGACATCCTTACCTTGTCAGTGTAGCAGGGCATGGAGTCATCGCTGGAATGAGATGACATCCTTACCATGTCACAGTGTAGCAGTGTAGGCGTTGAGTCATCCCACAGATGACATCCTTACCTTGTCAGTGTAGCAGGGTGGAGTCATGGAGTCCTTCCTTGTCACAGAGTCATCCCATAGACGACATCCTTACCTTGTCAGTGTAGCATCCCACAGATGATATCCTTAGGTCATCCAATGCATGGAGTCATCCTTACCTTGTCAGTGTAGCAGGGCATGGAGTTATCAGGGACATGAGTCACCCATCCTTACCTTGTCAGTGTAGCAGGGCATGGAGTCATCCCACAGATGACATCCTTACCTTGTCAGTGTAGCAGGGCATGGAGTTATCCCTCAGATGACATCCTTACCTTGTCAGTGTAGCAGGGCATGGAGTCATCCCACAGATGACATCCTTACCTTGTCAGTGTAGCAGGGCATGGAGTTATCCCACAGATGACATCCTTGCCTTGTCAGTGTAGCAGGGCATGGAGTTATCCCACAGATGACATCCTTACCTTGTCAGTGTAGCAGGGCATGGAGTCATCCCATGGATGATCCTTACCTTGTCAGTGTAGCAGGGCATGGAGTTATCCCACAGATGACATCCTTACCTTGTCAGTGTAGCAGGGCATGGATGGAGTCATCCCCATGGATGACATCCTTACCTTGTCAGTGTAGCAGGGCATGGAGTCATCCCACAGATGACATCCTTACCTTGTCAGTGTAGCAGGGCATGGAGTCATCCCACAGATGACATCCTTACCTTGTCAGTGTAGCAGGGCATGGAGTCATCCCACAGATGACATCCTTACCTTGTCAGTGTAGCAGGGCATGGAGATGGCATCCCCTTGTCAGTGTACAGATGACGTCGTCCTTACCTTGTCAGTGTAGCAGGGCATGGAGTCATCCCACAGATGACATCCTTACCTTGTCAGTGTAGCAGTGCATGGAGTCATCCCACAGATGACATCCTTACCATGTCAGTGTAGCAGGGCGTGGAGTCATCCCACAGATGACATCCTTACCATGTCAGTGTAGCAGGGCATGGAGTTATCCCACAGATGACATCATTACCTTACCAGCTTGCTGACAGGGTTAATCTCAATCTCTTTAAGGATGTTAACAAAGGCTTTTAATCTCAGATCTGAAGGTTTTTGTTTCAAATCCCATTACAAGCCCTGGAAATTTGTAAGAAAAGCTTATAAATCAACACGTGTCTACATTAACCCTTCACATCCCTGTATTTATGGATGTTTAATAGTGCCTTGTCCTACTGTTTTATCTTAAACCTCAACTAACAGCTTAACACAATGTTCATACCCTTCACCTGAAAACTACTGCTGAATGATATATTACATTTCCTTAACAACTGATTACACTGGACCAAGTCGTTGTGCAGTAATACATCATATTTGCTGATAATCGCTTCTGCTAAAACAAATGTCAACCATTTCATGCAGAAATCAATGATTAATGTGCGATATTTACACAGGAGTGTCGACTAGCTCTTAGGGAAGTAACACGCAGCATCAATACTACTGTGAATGCACGAATCTGCAGACTACATTTCCCAACTTCCCATGTCGACAGAAGTGCTAGATTGAGGTATTGAGAGGAACTATGGGTATTTTCCTGATTAAATGGTCCATGCTCTATCAGCTAAAATCAATTATTCGTGTCCCAACCTTAGTATCAGGGTTGATCAGACTGTAAGCTTGTTAGCAATGTGAGATGAGCAAGGGAAGGCTATGTGTCTGTCTGACAGTAGAGAATACACACACTTGTAGGTAGGTTTGTGGGGAGTAGTTTCTAAATTCTGCAGCAGCTATGTTGTATTTTATGATTTTATTGTCATTGGTTTCAAGTTTTTTGTTTCAATGGTTGATTTAGTGGATATCTGCACAAACTGTCTGTTTTTTTTTTTAACTTGTTGAACTTGGAATATCAGACTCATCGAACAACACAGTGTTTTAAAAGTGCGTCCAGTCACCTGTTTTCTTTTTTTGAAACTCCATGAATTCAGACACTGTTTAAAAGACTTTTTCTCATGAACCTTTTCAATAAATTTTCACTACAGTGTCCTCTTTATTTTATCTGTGGAAGACTTCAACAATTTATCACTATTTATGTGGTTAAACTAATTATTTCACAGCATGTTGCCATGGAAACTGATGTCTGAATACAGAGTGCTGTGTCTTATTTCAGGCGCTCCTCCAAGCGCACGATGTTGTAGCCCATGAAGTGTACAGTGAAGATGCTGTGCGGGCTACACCACCGCCACAGCCGCCGTACCTGAACGGAGACACTGAGCCAGAGCTTACGGAGAACAGCATCGACATGGACAACTTGACGCGTGTCCGCCTTGTGCAGTTCCAGAAAAATACTGATGAACCAATGGTAGGTCATTTTTCTTCAATTTTCAGTATGTGGGTAGTACAAGTCATCCTAGGTATGTCCCAATAACTTGTCCCATGCTTCTCCTTGTTGAGTACCATTGCAGAATAGGTCCCTGTCCTTGTCCTTGAATAGGTCCCAGTACCCCATGCTTTTCCTGTTAGAGATCCCAGGACAGAAAAGTACCCCGTGGTTGTCCTTGTAGAGATCCCAGGACAGAAAAGTACCCCATGCTTTCCCTTTTAGAGATCCCAGGACAGAATAGGTTACAGTACCCCATGGTTGTCCTTGTAGAGATCCCAAGACAGAATAGGTTACAGTACCCCATGGTTGTCCTTGTAGAGATCCCAAGACAGAATAGGTTACAGTACCCCATGGTTGTCCTTGTAGAGATACCGCCTCCGTGGTGTAGTGGTTAGAGCGTCCGCCCGGAGAATTGAAGGTCGCGGGTTCGATCCCCGGCCACGTCATACCAAAAGATGGTACTTGTTGGTCCCTGCCTGGCGCTCGGCATTAATAGGTAGAACAAGGACTGGTCAGCTCGGAGTCAGTATAATGTGTCTGAGTGGGGTATTCATGCTTCACTCCAGCATGGTACCTCAGTGAGCTAGCACTATAAAACCAGCTTAAGTCTGGGCTAGTACAAGCAGCCCAACATACACATACACACGCATGCACGTCGTCATATGAGCGAAATATTCTCAAGCGCGACGTTAAACCCAATTTCACCTCACCTCACCGATCACCTTAGTGCTGAGGTTACCTTACACAATGGCACCAGGCCATTGCAACTTGCTATATTTGACAAGAATATGTCATACAGTTCCTTCATGTAAACATGAGTTTCAGTTTTCAAAAGAAATAGTATTTAATTGAATAAACAGATTGTGGTGGACTCATAAAAACAAAATTATTTTCGAAGAAATAAACAATTTTCCAAAAACTTAAGATCAAATCTATCCAGGTTTAATCCAAGAGTAGTGATTGAACTGGTGTCCAGTATTTCAGTGTGCCTTTTGGATGGTGGGGTAGCCCAGTGGTTCAAGCGCTCGCTCATAGCACTAAAGACATGAGTACACCATTTCTGGAATATTGCTAACAGCAGTGTGAAAACCTTACTCTTTCATTCCCGGGCCGGTGGGGTAGCCTAGTGGTTAAAGCGTTGGCTCGTCATGCCGAAGACCCGGGTTCGAATCCCCACATGGGCACAATGTGTTAAGCCCATTTCTGGTGTCCCCCACCGTGATATTGCTGGAATATTGCTAAAAGCGGCGTAAAACTAAACTCAGTCAGTCAGTCAGTACTCTTTCATTCCCAATGTGACAATGTCGTCCCAGCATCGGTTGATTGGGGTTTGAAGCCTACATTTGTCCGGATCATCATTCTCGGTTTCTATCATGTAAGCCCTGCATCACCTCAGACTGTCCTCCTTCATTACACTTACATGCTAACATGTAGACATAACAAAATTTTATTCACATTAGGACTAAATACAGGAAACTCTGTTATCTCACTGACATGACTAACTGAGGACTTAATGCCGGAAATACTTCTAAAGTGGCAGTAATCCCAAATTCACTCTCTCTCACTCACTCACTCACTCACTCACTCACTCACTCATTCGGGGCAGTGGGGTGGCCTAGTGGTTAAAGCGTCCGCTCATCACGCCCAAGACCCGGGTTCGATTCCCCACATAGGTACAATGTGTGAAGCCCATTTCTGGTGTCCCCTGCAGTGATATTGCTGAAATATTGCTAAAGGCGGCATAAAAACTAATTTCACTCACTCACTCACTCACTCACTCACTCACTCACTCATTCTCTCTCTCACTCACTCACTCTCTTTTTCTCTCACTCACCATCTCTCTCTCTCTCCCACTCACTCACTCACTCCCACATCATGAAGCTGACACAAGTGTTCAAACTGAAATACTGTTTTAATGTCATTACACCCAAATCACTGTTTCAATGACGGAGCATGACGGAAACTTTCCTGGACATGCATTAGAAGCCATGATTATTGATTAAACATGACTTGGTATGGAAAATTAAGATCTAATTAAGATTAAGTGGGACTGTTTCTTTGACAAGGCATCTGCAACACAGTGCAATTTTCTTTTTAAAAGCAATATTATTCTGACATTTTAATGATCTCTTTGTCAGGGGTGGTTGCTCAGAATGATCCTCAAACCCTGTTTGTTTGATCAGCAGTTTGTCTAATTTGTTAGTCACTATAAAAAAATATATCTGAAAAACATTAATATGCTGATTGATTAGATAGAACTGAAAAAAGAAAATTCTGCCTTAATATTTCCTGCTGTACCATGTTATTATCTGACTTAAAACTAGAAATTCTTTTTGATGTCGACATCACTGGATGTCCTCGGTAGGAGGGAAATATAATTGATTGCTAAGTCGAATGGATTGGAGAGAAGGTTGTGAGCTGCATGCTTGGTATTCTAACCTGATAATCCTGTCGGTAGGCGAGGCATGTGTTGCGTGTCGCGGTGGCCTTCAGGGTTAGACTTGACCAAGACTTAGCTGCTGTTTCTTGTCGTGATGCTTGTTAACGTGGAATCGGTAAACTGATTCACATCACCGACGGTGTCTGGGCTTAGGTAAATGAGCTTAGGGATGTAGTGCGGTAAATATGTGAGGATGGCGGTGATGGTGATGAGTATGTTGGGATAACATCAGCATATGTTACTGAGGCTGGGACGAGATAAAGAGATCAACCCACCCACTCACTCACTCACTCAATCACTCACTCACTCACTCACTTGAGACTCACCCACTTGTCCCTCACCCATATAAATTAAATCCTCCACCCATCCACCACCCATCACCCATTACTCAAGACATTTATCCACTTATTTCTCACCCACTAAAAACACCTCACCCGCTTACCCCAAATATACCCTTCCACTAACTTACTGGAGACCCATCCATCTACTTGTTCAGTCACCCACTAAAACAAAAAAGACTTATCAAACCCATCCATCCACTAGTTCACTCTCCCAGAACCAAATCATTCACTCAATCATTCATCCTTACCAAAACCCATTCACTCACTTACTCACTCACTCACTCAATCACTCAATCACTCATGCCACTATTCTCACTCACTCCATTTATTCTCATTCACTCCATTTATTCTCATCCACTCCACCTATTTAAACCCGTGAAGGTTCGGGTTAGAATGAACCTTCAGTAACCCATGCTTGTCGTAAGAGGCGACTAACAGGATCGGGTGGTCAGTAGGGTTGGGTACTGCCAACATTTCCGTATTGCGGTATATTGCGATATGTGTTGGCGTATTGCAATATGTATTGCAATATATTGTGAAAGTGTAACACATGGGCTAAGATAATGAAATTACTGTTTCCTTTCTTTTGAAACAATGCCAGTGGCCACTTTCAGGACTCAGATGTGATTGTACAAGAGACCAATTGAAAATGTTTCCAAACAGAAAACTTCGCTCTGAAAGTTGGAACTCGAGAAAAAGCGGCTGCCTTCGGTACCAATCTATTTTTTTCACATGGTTAAAAGTCATGCAAGTACAGTTATATGACCAATAAACATTCTCAAAACTATTAATGTATAATAATATAAGGAAAATACAAATGTTATTGGTATTTTTGACTACATCACGAAAATTACCGATCATGGTCACGGAAATTGCCTATCGTATCGGGTAAACTGGTTCGCGAAAAGTGTACCGCAATATATCGTATTGTGAAGTTCAAATTGCAAAATACCAGTAAACCGGTATTATCGCCCACCCCTAGTGGTCAGGCTTGCTGACTTGGTTGACACATGTCATTGGTTCCCAATTCCATAGACAGCTTATGCTGTTGATCACTGGATTGTGTGGTCCAGATGTGATTATTTACAGACCGCTGCCATAAAGCTAGAATATTGCTGAGTGGCGTAAAACTAAACTCACTCTCTCACTCCACCTATCCTCACTCAATCCACCTATCCTCACTCACTCACCCAGACACAAATACAGCACCGAGATGACCGAACCTCCGTCGGATGCCATTACTGTTTTCTAACAAGCTGACCTAAGTTGACCTTGTAAGTTTACTCTAATTGACATGGCTACAGCCAGCCTACAATTATAAAGTGAATCACTTCAATCACTGAAATGAAACAATATTTACATTTAAAATTACTAAAGAAAAGGAATTAATCAATAATAAGCACATTGTAACTGCCAAAAAGTTTTCATTTGAATTTTGTATGATTTAGTATGAATTTGCAAAGTGGATTTTAACCGTCTCTTATGGAGGAATAATTACTGTGTGAACGTGATAGGGATGGATCTTAATAACATTGTGAAACATCAGATTTCAAACTGATTCGTTTAGTGGCTGTTGTACTGAACTTGTTCCCAGCCTAAGGGATGCTATGGAATATTCAGAATACAGAGGAAATCTGGACAGATAATTACGGTTCTTGTCGAACACAGAATTGGTCCTTTGATGACTCAGTATTGACAAGCTTATTCTTATGCCAGGAATATTGTCATTTGTGGGGTAATTAGGAGAATATCTGATGATGGATAAATCTAATAATTGTCTGAGTTGATGCTCCAAGCCACAATTCCAAGTTTTGGTCTGGTACTGGCGCCAATAATGGTCCGTGCTTTGCAGTCGGACAGGGTCGTAATGCAGGCCATACAAGACAAATTAGGCCGTCATTGTGATCGGAGAGTCGGATCAGATATGCATCTATGTTGGCTCTCTCTACTTTGTATGAATTCACCAAATAAAATTATGACAAGGTAATCACATTCTCGATGAGACTTTGGTACAGATGATGAACTTGATGTAGACAGAGTCTGGACTTACTGATTTTCTGTGGTTTTTCTTTCAATGCTGATAAAGTAATCATGTTGATAATGTAGTTGTTTCTTCTAGTCTGCTGGAAGGCATGTGAAGAATTTGGAGAAAAAACAATTCTGATCATTTACCATGTATTTTAACCCCTTAAATTCCAATGGGTACAATGTGTGAAGCCCATTTCTGGTGTTCCACCGCCGTGATATTGCTGGAATATTGCTAAAAGCGGCGTAAAATCCAACTCACCACCTTAAATTCCATATCAAATTACCAGCACATATTTCTTATCAGTAATTATAATTTTAAAAATCAATAATAAAAATCTGTTCTGATAGTAGTGTCAGTAGTAGATGAAGCAACTGGCTAGAGAGCTCATTCCTCAGTCGCACATGACACGAAATGGTTCACAACTGTCCTTGTTACCTAGCCTGGCTGGCTATTAATAGGACAAGACAACGTCTAGTGAGTGAGTGAGTGAGTTTAGGTTTACGCTGCACTCAGCAATATTCCAGCTATATGGCAGCGGTCTGTAAATAATTGAGTCTGGACCAGGCAATGCAGTGATCAACAGCATGAGCATTGACCTGCGCAGTTAGGACAACGTCTAGTTGGCTCAGAGTCAGTATACAGTGTCTGAGAGGGGTTTCCATGTTAAACTGCATCATGTTATCTCAGTGGCATAATAAAACCAACATCAGCCCACACTGGCCGAAGCAGAGAATATATCCTCGTCGTAAACAAACCATCAAATCAATAGATGGTTTGTGCACTGAGACAGGCTTTTAATATTCCACAGCTGGGACATAAGATAGTTATTTCCAGATGTTGTATACAAGATTATGATATAGTGCTGTAAGTAGGGGAATATAGACATGTATCATCAATCTCGGCATGATATAGCTTTTATCGTCTACACAGTCGACACTAGCTGGGGTCTATATGAAAACATGATGTATTGAAAGTTATTAACTTGTTGATGTAGATCAATCTATTTGTGGGGACAAATTGCGTTATTGTACAGAGACTCTGCAATCACTTCCTCTACTCACATGCACAGTTGTCTAAAAATATACCAACATTTCCATTTTGACATCCATCGAGACATCTCTGAGCCAGGATAATTGAACTCATTTTAAGTCTCACTTAAATGCACATTGTGATTAGTATTTGAAAATGTCTATTAAAACATTTACGCTAATTGTGGAAATGGGTTTTAGAAGGGACATACTATTTTGATTCTGTCATTTTTGCTGTTTCATATATAAGTAGACTGACATAATGTGTTTGCCTTCTTTACCTGAGAGGTTCAACTAGAGTAGGCTGTGATTAGAATGATGTACCGACATTTCATGGAGGTTCAGATTGATCAGTGTTTAGTTTTCTGTCTTCATCTTTCTGCGGGCATTTAGTGACAAGAGAGACCCGAGGTCTCAATGCTTGTCTTAAAAGCTTCATAATGACGCTGAGTAGAACTACTAGTCGCGTTCAGGGCTTTGTCTCAGACTGCACACAGGTTGATAATCCGCTTCCAGCCTGCAGCATATGTCTACAAAATTGAAAAATGAGGATAAAACATTTCCCAATTAATGTTAGTATATACTCATCAAAAGAAATTACAGAACACCCAACTTTTTTATATAACTAAAGTCAATCCATCACTGCTGTAATTATATGAAAAAATCTGGTTTTATGTAACTTTTTATATGAGAAAGTTTGTAACTTAACCGGGGTGACATGTACTTCACTGACAATAGAACCAAACAAGGAGTTGTTGCTGTGTTGTATATAACTGTAAGATATCTCTTAAAGCAATTTTTGTAAAAATATAGAACAAAGTAACTCAAGAAACTGGAGTTTTTTACCCGAGATATTTAGTTCCCTGTTATTTGATTAAGAAACTGTGAGCCACTTATTTGTCAATTCTTCGCTTGTGATGGTGTAATAATCACTTGATCATTTTCAACTTTCAGGGTATAACACTGAAGGTCAATGACGAAGGGAGATGTTTTGTTGCCAGAATAATGCATGGGGGAATGATCCACAGGCAAGGTGAGTTACCTCCCTTAGGTGATTCTAGGTAAGTTCTCTCCCTTGTGATCCATGGGCAATGAGAGTTATCTCCACCTTTTACTGCTACAGACTTTGAATTTGTACAGAACAGTGTTGAAATTGAGTCCATAGGCCGTTTAATCATTTGTAACTTAGCATGTTAGCAACTTTTATACATTGCAATACTCTGATGATATAAAATTACCGTAGTTGTTTCGGGTCTGTCATACTCTTATAATGATGAAATTTGAAAGAAAAAAAAATACCTCTACTCAATTATATCTCATGGTGTAATTGATGTAGAAGGATTTTGTTCCACCAAGCAACACAACAGACATGCAGACAGTTTGGTATGATTAACTGGTTTTAAATTACCACAATTTCCTAAAGTTTACATTAAATTGCAATTTATGATAACAACTTTTGTTCCGTGATGAGGAAACATTCAAGCTTGATTATAGAAACAAAACAGGGATTAATGCTCAAATATTTTTATAAGTGAAAATTTTATGTAGTCTAGACGTAGTGTTACTTCCCTTTCATGTAAGTGATTATTACCATTGACAAGAATCCCAAATATGGTAAACTTTCTTTCCTCAACTCATACAAGCTCATGTTCTGACATGAAAATATTTTGACACAGTAAACTGTGTTTGTTATGAACACACATAAAATAAATGACTGATGTAACAAACTTGGGGTTTTCCCTGACCACTTGTTTTATGTTTTAGTCGAAATATATATCATGAACTATGGTTGTTACGAACTGAAATTAGTGGTCCCTTAGACTTTGTAGTCTATAATGGTAGTATAATGTATTTTATATGCTGCCAATAGATGAAATTGTGCAAGTAGGCTCTGAAGTATTTGGTGCAAACTGTTGTCACAACTACAGTATGTATCAACATGTATCAACAAGTATCAATATGTATCAATATGTGTTCATGCATGTGCATATAGAGATACTATTTTGCCAGTACTGCTTTAACTTTGTAACCTTTGAGGGTCGGTAAGGTAGGTGAGTAGTTAAAGTGTTCTCCTGTCATGCTGAAAGTCGGGTTCTATTCTTCACCTGTGTTTAATTCTTGTATCCACTGCTGTGATATTGCTGAAATTTTTGCTACAAGTGACATAAAACTTTCCTCATTCACTCACTCATATCATAACTGTGGGTATGTTTCAGGCACGCTGCACGTCAGCGACGAAATTAAGGAGATCAACAACGTCAGTGTCCAGAACCAGCCTGTGGAAACGCTGCAACGCATGCTGGTAGATATACATTATATACAATACTTTACTGGGTAATATGTGTTACAAAACAGAAGTATGACAGTATTATAGATAAGTAAAACAGTTCCTGCTGATCATGCTGTGGCCATCCTGTATACACTTTTATGTATATCTATTCTATTATTAAGGTTATTTATGGGAAAATATTGAATTTTTTAATATTCTGACAAAAATAGTATGGAATCATTAATATTTGAGGAACATTTTTGTTACTGTGTAGTCTTAGCACAAAATTATATAAAAAATATTGTGAAAAAAATTCATGATGTCTGACATTTTTGGTTCAGTATAGAATCGTCCAAATTCAGAACTCATGATGGTTATTTTTTGGCAAAATTTGTCCTTGGATTTGGATGAGGAAGTAGTTATATGGGTCATGTGATAAGTTTAGGATGCATTTAGTTGGTAATGCATACACTTATCTTAAAGGAAGTGTGGTATTTGTTAGGTCTACAGAATGCGTTTTTAACAAGACACCAAGAATGATAGATCAGAATTACTTCATTTTTATTCATCATGGTGAACTTTTGGACGTCTATCCATCCACCATTAAATCCTTCATGAATTTAAGCTGTTAAGCTGAAACGCGCATGTGATACCAGCAGTTGTCTCAAAGGCCGTTAAAATTCTTGCCTAGCTCACAGAATTCTGCTCCAATAATGGATTCTGTAATGGAATGGAAATGCTGTTTTGACATAACTGATCTGTGGTGTATATTTTGCGATTAATCCAAACTAGAGTCCTATATCTCAACTCCATGTTGACCTGATAATCTCACAGTGCAAATGATTAAAAAACATCAGAGCCCACAGATGAAAGATCTTGAGCAGAAAAGTGAGCCATCGTGACCTTTTTTATTGGGCCAACTGAACACACACTTTCATGATAACATCCAAAAATATTCATGATTCGTAGCAAATTTGTTAGATCTAACCAGCTGGTGACACTTGATACAAGGTTTTACTTCAGCTAATATTTGAAATCGGAACCATTTGATATTACTAGAATACATACTGTTCCAAGTTGTAGGAAGGTTTCTCATTTATCTCAACTTTGATACTCTCATGTTTTGATCATTGACTTCATGGCATATGTTTGATGGCCTGTTCTTTCTTTGATGTCTTTCAACCAATTCTGAAAACCATCTTTCATGGATTTTCAAATCAGATCCACTAATGACTACTCCGTAGCTGACTTTCAAGTTGTAATGAAACAGAATGGATCTGTAGTTTAAGCTGAAGCTAACCTGTTTTGTCATCTTTTCATCTCAAATCAAAGGTTTGTCTTCAAGATGATGATATTTTACTATGAATTACTCATCATTTTTAGATCTCCATTAAAAACTGTTGCTTAGCAACCAGATGGATACCCCTTAGTTTGAAGTAATGAATCAATAAAATTTTAGTTTTACACAAGGTCAGAAGGGAATTCATTTCTTCTGCGCGTTCTTCCCTGCGGAAGTTTGGTCAATAGTTCCTGGAGCCATACCAGCACTCAGACTGTGCACTTCTGGGAACTCTTAAAATCCTTTGTTCTCCGCCAATGGCAGAATGTGTAGCAAAAGCAGTATTACGGTGGTCGCTGCAGACCACAGCCATATTTCACAGGCAATTTCTGAAATGAGAAAAATTGATTATTTTTTTATCATATTCTCCAGTTTTATGAATTGTGTTTTTTCCAAGAATACAAACTTTGATGTATGTTTACACCATCCTCAATAATTTAATTTCCAATTATGTTGACTAACATAAGTCATCAACTGTCATATATCATTTGTTCCAGAGGAGCTGATCGTATCCATTGAATGTATCCAATTCAAATGGACTGTTTCTCTTTTTTTTTGATGTTATGACATGAGTTATGGGTTTTATGTAAGTAAGGGGATATCTCATACATCATGGTGTATATATGATTACAAATAATCCGTAATAGACATTATTGGTTCTGGCAAGCTGAAGGTTTCTTGGGAAATGTCAGTTGTGTGATATTGTTAGGGATCTGAGGGTAATGTACACTGCCATCCTAAAAGCCGCATGTCAGCCTGGTAAACAAACCGAATGTGGTGCTGTCATCGACACAATGGAGGCTCTTTAAGGTGTTCGTCATGTGTCGGTACTTTGCTTCATAGCAGCAGTTACGGTTCACCTGAACTGACTGTTACTGTAACCTCATGTTACACTTTTGTGCATTAACTATCGTTCACTTTTAATTGTTAGTTCCTCGATTTTCATCAGAAATTGTACAACCTATGGATGATCCAAGGATTGATGTCTCTAAACAGTGCTCACAAATGTCTTATCTGAATTTCAACATGGCCACTCTTTCTGCCATATTGAATTTGTACTTTCTCCTCAGTCTTTTACCCATACATCATAATGAAGTCTATGCTGTAGGTTGGGGAACAATTGGTATATTTTGGATTTCATTTTTATATTTCGACAGCTCTAGTTTTGTGGAAATGCAAGTTTCATATGTGATAAAAAGAGGGAGCAAAGAGTGAAAAAAATATTAACATCAGCAATTTGTTAAGTTTTAATATATTATTCTTCAGTATCTTTAATAGGCAAAGTAGCCTTATGGTGCCATTCAAACAACCTCTTTAGAATCCCTGTCAGAGAGCCTCATTTATGGTGCCAATCAAGGCCTTTTAGTTTTTTTCACTTTATGGTGCCATAGAAAGATGCTCTTATGGTGCCACTCAGAGGCCATCTTAATTATACCAGGCAAAGAGACTCTTTATGGTGCCATTGAAAGTGCCTCTCCATGGTGCCACTCAAAGTGCTTCTTTGTTTTACCATTCAAAGTGCCACTCTTTGATGCCACTGAAAGTTCCATTTTTTCATGGTGCCACTGAGAGAGACTCATTATGATGCCATTCAAAGAACGTCTTAATTATACCATCCAAAGAGACTTTTTATGGTGCCGTTCAGTGACTCTTTATGTTTCAAAGGATTTGTATGTCACGATCTGTCTCCTGGTGTATTTTTTAGCGAAACTTGCGAGGCTCTGTTACATTTAAAGTGGTGCCATCTGTTGGTGGAGCACAGAAAGTAGAGACAGGAATCGAGGTAGGTATTTTACGACACCACACGTCAAATGTGCGCTGTTCTCACAACTCATGCATTTTGTTATTGCAGAAGGAAGCTCGAGGCAGTATAACCTTGAAGATTGTGCCTAGTTATCGAATAAACCCTGCCCAGTGTGAGGTAACCCCTATCCCAGCATGCCTTGCACCCAATATGGCCGTCGTGGCATACAGTGTCGTGTAGCCTTATACTTAGTCGTTTGTTTGTCCATATGTGGCAATTGTGCCAAAACATTATACTCAACTTGCACATACACCATTTTGATGCTGACACCTCAAATCCATCGCACAGGCCTCCTGAAACCAGCATTAAAAATCAAGATGAAACAGTAACCTATTTATCAACTATTGATTTTTTTAAATTGACTTTTAATTTGCTTCAATATTTTGAGAAAATGTACTAATTTTTATGCAAATACTAAAGGTTTTAATTTAAAAAATTCTACTCCAATTATTTTAACCAATTTCCATTTATGCTTTTACTACTTTTCTGTAAGTTCTGAATAATGATTTTCTACTTCGATAAAACAATTCTTTGGGGAATTATTTTGAAAATTTACCCTTTTTCCACCTTCCTTTATATGCTACTTTCCTGACAGCCTATATAACAACCCAGCAGCTTACAAGTTAAACACATTGTTTCACATAGTCTCACATTGTTGTTTTTTGGCATTTTTTAGCTTTTATCCTTTGATGGGGGCTGCTTCTTTTTAGATTATATTTCTTCAATTGCTACTTTGTTGGTTTTTTTTACTTCAATTAAGTTTCAGTTCGAGAATGTTTTTTCAGTAATGATATTGAAAGGCAAATATGATCACATATGATCAATACCTCATTGACCTTTCTCCAAGGAATATAGATAGTTGCAATGATGTCACTTCCTCAGTGTTTTCCAGTGTTACTTGAATGAAAATACACTTACATAACACAATGCTACCAATCCACAAGTACTAAAGTCAGAGAGGTGCCTGGTCATACCCACTCCCACACAATGTGTTATAACTATTTATACCTCACCATGTGCTGGGTTCCTTTGTTGACCACAACTAACTCAACTAACGAACTAACAAGCCATTGTATTTATACACAAGTGTTACATGGAAAATTAATACCCTCGTCAATTAATATTAAGTTGTACTGGACTCAAGCAAGCATGAGTAAATGATGTTCCAACACCATAAGACATGACATATATAGTGTGGTATATAACGTTCTTGTTAGGTATAGCGATATGCTGCATGGTGTAGAATGACCATGTTATATATACCCATATGCAGGGCAGTGTATAACAGTCATGTAATATACCCCTGTATGCAGGGCAGTGTATAACAGTCATGTAATATACCCCTGTATGTAGTACAGTTTATATCGGTCATGTTATGTACCCCTGTATGCAGTACAGTTTATATCGGTCATGTTATATATCCCTGTATGCAATACAGTGTATAACAGTCATGTAATATACCCCTGTATGCAGTACAGTGTATATCGGTCATGTTATATACCCCTGTATGCAGTATAGTGTATATCAGTCATGTTATATACCCCTGTATGCAGTATAGTGTATATCTGTCATATATACCCCTGTATGCAGGGCAGTCGGTCATGTTATATACCCCTGTATACAGTACAGTGTATATCGGTCATGTTATATACCCCTGTATACAGTACAGTGTATATCGGTCATGTTATATACCCCTGTATACAGTACAGTGTATATCGGTCATGTTATATACCCCTGTATACAGTACAGTGTATATCGGTCATGTTATATACCCCTGTATACAGTACAGTTATATATGTATAACAGTCATGTTATATACCCCTGTATACAGTACAGTGTATATCGGTCATGTTATATAACCCTGTATACAGTATAGTGTATATCGGTCATGTTATATACCCCTGTATGCAGGGCAGTGTATATCGGTCATGTTATATACCCCTGTATGCAGTACAGTGTATATCGGTCATGTTATATATCCCTGTATACAGTACAGTGTATATCGGTCATGTTATATATCCCTGTATACAGTATAGTGTATAACAGTCATGTAATATACCCCTGTGTACAGTAGTGTATATCGGTCATGTTATATACCCCTGTATGCAGTACAGTGTATATCGGTCATGTTATATATCCCTGTATGCAGTACAGTGTATAACAGACATATTATATACCCCTGTATGCAGTACAGTGTATAACAGACATATTATATACCCCTGTATGCAGTACAGTGTATATCGGTCATGTTATATATCCCTGTATACAGTATAGTGTATAACATACATGTTATATATCCCTGTATACAGTACAGTGTATAACAGATATTATATACCCCTGTATGCAGTACAGTGTATATCGGTCATGTTATATATCCCTGTATGCACTACAGTGTATATCGGTCATTTTATATATCCCTGTATACAGTGTAGTGTATAACAGACATGTTATATACCCCTGTATGCAGTACAGTGTATAACAATCATGTAATATACCCCTGTATGCAGGACAGTGTATATCTGTCATGTTATATATCCCTGTATGCAGTACAGTGTATAACAGTCATGTTATATACCCCTGTATGCAGGACAGTGTATATACATACATGTTACAGTGTATATCCCTGTATACAGTACAGTGTATAACAGACATATTATATACCCCTGTATGCAGTACAGTGTATATCGGTCATGTAATATATCCCTGTATGCACTACAGTGTATATCGGTCATTTTATATATCCCTGTATACAGTGTAGTGTATAACAGACATGTTATATACCCCTGTATGCAGTACAGTGTATAACAGTCATGTAATATACCCCTGTATGCAGGACAGTGTATATCTGTCATGTTATATATCCCTGTATGCAGTACAGTGTATAACAGTCATGTTATATACCCCTGTATGCAGGACAGTGTATATCGGTCATGTTATATATCCCTGTATACAGTACAGTGTATATCGGTCATGTAATATATCCCTGTATGCACTACAGTGTATATCGGTCATGTTATATATCCCTGTATACAGTACAGTGTATATCGGTCATGTTATATACCCCTGTATGCAGTACAGTGTATATAACAGTCATGTATATACCCTGTGTATACACATATCTGTCATGTTATATATCCCTGTATGCAGAACAGTGTATAACAGTCATGTTATATACCCCTGTATGCAGGACAGTGTATATCGGTCATGTTATATATCCCTGTGTACAGTACAGTGTATATCGGTCATGTTATATATCCCTGTGTACAGTACAGTGTATATCGGTCATGTTATATACCCCTGTATGCAGTATAGTGTATATCGGTCATGTAATATACCCCTGTATGCAGGGCAGTGTATATCGATCATGTTATATATCCCTGTGTACAGTACAGTGCATATCGGTCATGTAATATATCCCTGTGTACAGTACAGTGTATATCGGTCATGTTATATATCCCCGTGTACAGTACAGTGTTTATCGGTCATGTTATATATCCCTGTATACAGTACAGTGTATATCGGTCATGTTATATACCCCTGTATGCAGTACAGTGTACATCGGTCATGTTATATACCCCTATTTGCAGTACCGTCTATAACAGTCACAATGTATTGTCTCTAGCTGCCTTCAGTGTTGAAGTGTGGTATTGTGCAGGTCTGTAGCTCAGTTTGAACTGGGTCAAGCTGACCCATGTATTGTTCTGTGTGTAGAGCTGGTCATTGTCATCATGCCCATTTCATCACATCACTTCAAGGAAACCTACTTATTGAGTTTTTACTGCTGTCTGTGATTATCGGACATCTGTACGTGAATATGATTAGGTGCATGAGTCATCATTGAGATTTCAACAACAGAAATCTGGTTTTTGCTACGTGTGACCTAGCTGGCTGATTGTGTGACATTGTGTGTGTGCTGTTCTTGTAAACCAGTGGTTTACATGACCTTGTTACGACCTTGTTGTAAACCAGTGGTTTACATGACCTTGTGACGACCTGTGGAAATCTGTGGATTTGTCATTGTGCCTTGCTTGCATAGTTTTTAGCTTTTCTTACCATCAGAGATGACAACAGATATTTCTGATGAGAACAGTTTGGTTTATGATGATTATACTTCTTTAGAGAATAATAGTTTAATTCACATCAGGTAATAATCTGTTTACTATTTCATTTGGACCTTATCCAAAGTACATAACAACTGTGTTGTATATTTATTTTCATTTAATGAATTTGCTTAACTAAGATGGCACTAAGACATTAGTTGCATTCATGTATGTGGTAAACGATGTCAAACCTTTAGCATTTTCTGTACATAAAGATAGGTTACTTCAGAACATCAGGTCCTGGTGAGTATCAGAGTTATCTCCCCTAGATCACAAGTTCCTAAAGTGATGTGAGAGTGTTTACTTCAGTTATCTGCCCTTGTTCATGAAAAGGGGTTTGTGTTTTCAGATGTATGTTTTAGTGCCTAGTTTGATTATGTGAGTTATCTCCCCTTGGTCACACCTTTCTGCATACAAGGCCTGTGTTTTCAGATCTATGTGAGAGCGATGTTTGATTACGACCCTCGAGATGATGACCTGATTCCGTGTTCTCAAGCTGGCGTGCCGTTCAAAGTTGGCGATATCCTGCGGGTAGGGGGAAACATAATATAATATGCATATCCTTTTTGAAAGCTTTTTAGACTGTAGTAGGTACACCGAATAATTAACTTTTATAATACAGTAACTGTTTGTAACGCCTTTTGAGTGCAAATCTTTACAGAGGTGACCAAGCAGTTTATGCATTGCAATTGTCTGTACAGAATTCCCTCCCTTTAGTATACCAGGAACCTGGAATGTCCTGTTCAAACCCTAAGTCAACACTGATTATTATTCTTGATTCCTCACCACCATTCCCATCCTTTGGGGTTTCACCAAATCCTCCATCAGTTTCGGATTTCCTGCCTCCTAGGTCAAGCTGACATGTCGCGGTGTTACTGAAATATTGTTGAAAGAGACAATAAGTCCCACTCACTCAGTCACCAGGAATTGAAGTCATTCATGATTTTGTGAAATGATACACATATTGATTCAGAATAAAATGCAAAATACGTATATCACACTCTTCAAACCAGATATTACAATGGATCTCCAGCTGTCTGAGTCCTATCTTCAGTGCTATTGACTTGCATCAGTAGGTCAGACTTGTGAGTTTGGTTGATGGCCTGTGTTCATACACAACAACGTTAGATGTTGCTCGTGATATCAATCACTAGCCTGGCTAGCCTGGACCAATCAGACTGATTTGTAGCCACCATGACATTGCAGGAATATTATCACATGAAACACTTGCATCAGTGCATCTTTTTGTCAAGTCATACTGTTTTCACATGATTAAGCTGTTATTTCACAAATGACAGAAAATGTTTTTGTTAACATTCGGCGCATGTTTCATAAGTTAAAATTGTCAAGAGACCCACCCAGTTTGTTACAGTGGCTGTGATAACCTTGAAGGGTTAGTGAGTGGATCTATACATAGACTGGTTGTTGCAGGTGATAAGCAAGGACGACTCCAACTGGTGGCAGGCCCGCAAGGCTGACAGTGCACCCACGGAGCCAGCAGGCCTCATTCCGTCACCTGAACTGCAGGAGTGGAGGACAGCCTCACTGGCGATAGAGAGAGCTAGGAGAGAACATTCAGGTAAGTAGTACTTCCTTTAGCTAGGACAGAACACTCAGGTAAGCACTTACTTCTGTAGAGGTAGCCTAGTGGTTAAAGTGTTCGCTTGTCACGCTGAAGACCCAGGTTCGATTCCCCACATGTGAAGCCCATTTGTGGTATCCCCACCGTGATATTGCTGGACTATTGCTAAAAGCAGTGTAAAACCATACTCACTCACTCCTTCTGTAGAGAGAGCTACTGGCAAACAAGGATAAGTTGAGCACCGACCAGACAACTGACATGTATTAGCATGTATGAGTGCCGCCCACTGGTGCTTGCCATTGTTAGCGAAAGGGCCCCAGGTTGTCCGCAATCAAGTGTAGTGCGACTTGCCACACCGACGTGAGAGTCATGAGCAAGGCTCGGGCAGCTACTCACAGAATCAATTTCATCGTCATGAAATGCACATGCACTAGCCTACATCTGCTCTACCTTCACAAACCAAATGGGTTTGCTAATTGCCGTGCGCTGCCTACTTCTCGTAAACGCGTTCCCTGCGCCGGTCCAACTAATCCTTGTTTCCCAGTAAGAGAGAACATTCAGGTAGACAGTGCTTCACTGTATTGATAACATAGCAATCTAGAAATGATTTGCCTAAACATTAAAAGGTAAGCACTGTTATCAAAAGTTTGGCTTCTTATAACAGAAGAATTGTTTATCACTTTGCTCTGTGAATTAAGATAAGTCCCTTGATACCTTCAAACACATAAAAATCTGTATATTTTTTTCAGTTCACTGTTCGTGGTTCGGTCGAAAGAAGAAGGACAAGTACCTGGCCAAACACAACGCGGTGTTCGACCAGTTGGACCTGGTGACGTACGAGGAGGTGGTGCGGCTTCCGGCCTTCGTCAGGAAAACTCTTGTCTTACTAGGTAGTTCATCCCACAAGATGCACCCAGCTTCTCATATATTTCAACATTGTTTTGATCTGGTCATGTTCAGAGAGGCATTTCTGGTAGTAGTCCTTCCTCTTTCATAGTCTTTTTCACTCTTGCATTTTACATGATTGCACAGTTGGAATGAGAGGACCAAAACTAAAGTGATTCTTGTAGACATATATATTTGCTATGTACTTGGACGTAATGTGGGAATTTGTGAGAAAGTTACTGTTTGGCAAGTTAACAACTTGGGTATAAAAAGGACGAAAGTGGAAGGAGCGTGTGTAAAGACACAAGAGTGTTAAGCATTCATGTCAGGAGGTGTGTTTTACATGATGCCAATGATGTTTATGTTTTTTACAGGTGCTCATGGAGTTGGGAGACGACACATAAAGAACACACTAATCACAAGTCATCCAGATAGGTTCGCCTACCCTATACCTCGTAAGTCACCAGGGAAAACATTCAGTTTGTTGTGTTGTGGCCTACAGATAGGTCGCCTACCCTATACCTCGTAAGTCACCAGGGAAAACATTCAGTTTGTTGTGTTGTGGCCTACAGATAGGTTCGCCTACCCTATACCTCGTAAGTCACCAGGGAAAACATTCAGTTTGTTGTGTTGTGGCCTACAGATAGGCTCGCCTACCCTATACCTCGTAAGTCACCAGGGAAAACGTTCAGTTTGTTGTGTTGTGCCCTACAGATAGGCTCGCCTTCCCTATACCTCGTAAGTCACCAGGGAAAACATTCAGTTTGTTGTGCTGTGGCCTACAGATAGGTTCGCCTACCCTATACCTCGTAAGTCACCAGGGAAAACATTAAGTTTGTTGTGTTGTGGCCTACAGATAGGTTCGCCTTCCCTATACTACAGATAGGTTCGCCTACCCTATACCTCGTAAGTCACCAGGGAAAACATTCAGTTTGTTGTGCTGTGGCCTACAGATAGGTTCGCCTACCCTTTACCTCATAAGTCACCAGGGAAAACATTCAGTTTGTTGTGTTGTGGCCTACAGATAGGTTCGCCTTCCCTATACCTTGTAAGTCACCAGGGAAAACATTCAGTTTGTTGTGTTGTGGCCTACAGATAGGTTCGCCTTCCCTATACCTCGTAAGTCACCAGGGAAAACATTCAGTTTGTTGTGTTGTGGACTACAGGTAGGCTCGCCTACCCTATACCTCGTAAGTCACCAGGGGAAACATTCAGTTTGTTGTGTTGTGGCCTACAGGTAGGCTCGCCTACCCTATACCTCGTAAGTCACCAGGGAAAACATTCAGTTTGTTGTGTTGTGGCCTACAGATAGGTCGCCTACCCTATACCTCGTAAGTCACCAGGGAAAACACTCAGTTTGTTGTGTTGTGGCCTACAGATAGGTCGCCTACCCTATACCTCGTAAGTCACCAGGGAAAACATTCAGTTTGTTGTGTTGTGGCCTACAGATAGGTCGCCTACCCTATACCTCGTAAGTCACCAGGGAAAACATTCAGTTTGTTGTGTTGTGGCCTACAGAAAGGTCGCCTACCCTATACCTCGTAAGTCACCAGGGAAAACATTCAGTTTGTTGTGTTGTGGCCTACAGATAGGTCGCCTACCCTATACCTCGTAAGTCACCAGGGAAAACATTCAGTTTGTTGTGTTGTGGCCTACAGATAGGTTCGCCTACCCTATACCTCGTAAGTCACCAGGGAAAACATTCAGTTTGTTGTGTTGTGGCCTACAGATAGGTCGCCTACCCTATACCTCGTAAGTCACCAGGGAAAACATTCAGTTTGTTGTGTTGTGGCCTACAGATAGGTCGCCTACCCTATACCTCGTAAGTCACCAGGGAAAACATTCAGTTTGTTGTGTTGTGGCCTACAGATAGGCTCGCCTACCCTATACCTCGTAAGTCACCAGGGAAAACATTCAGTTTGTTGTGTTGTGGCCTACAGTCAGCGCTGTGATGGTGGTCTATAGTTATGTCAGGAAACCAGCTTAGTTTGTTATACCAAGGAATTCCGTCCATCCAAAGACATTTTTATTCAACCAATAACTTGAAAACTATTGGTTGGATTTTTTTCAAATTTGGGGACCACTTTATTTATCTAAAGGATAAAGATATTGAGAATGATATTTTATTTTTCAGGAATTACAGCAATTTAAAATTTTGAACTTAATAAAGTTTGTTCATCCAATAACTCTAAAACTACTGGTCAAAATGTTTTCAATTTTGAAAACAACAGATTTTGGTAATCTCATCTTTGTTTATAGGAAAGGCTTAGTTTGATACAGATCTTGTATTTTTGTCAAGAATATAAATACACAAATAAATAAATGAATGAATGAATGGATGGATGGATGAATAAATAAATATGTTATTTTACACTTATATAATGTGTGTGAAATTCATTTGTGGTAATCGCCACCCTGTTATGTGGCTGCTTGAACTTCTAGAAAGCTGGTCTCTGACTTTCCTGTGTTGTCTTGCAGATACAACTCGCCCCCCCTCGGGAGAACGAAGAAGATGGAAAGAACTACCACTTTGTAACTCACGAGAAGATGGTGGCCGACATTGCTTCCAATCAGTATCTGGAATACGGCACACATGAAGACGCCATGTATGGCACCAAGCTGGAGACCATTCGCCAGATTCACAAACGAGGTCTCATGGCTATCTTAGATGTAGAACCGCAGGTGAGCAAATGTGTGAAGTGTTCACTCAAAGCTGTGGGTAACAGTTTGGTTTTAAAGAAACTTGTCACTCTATATGACATTCATTTTTAGTTCGTTGTAACATATTGTCATATGCAGTATTTGTTTTTGGGGGAGGGGGGGGAGACAAGGTAGGGTAGCCTAGTGGTAATGTGTTTGCTCATCACGCTGTGAACCTGGGTTCACTGACTCACTCTGTGATCTGTTTCAGGCTATTAAAGTATTGCGGACAGGGAACTACACTCCTTTCATAGTCTTTATTGCAGCTCCAACACTTCCTGCCATACATCAGGTACTCCAGCCAATCAGCTGCCGCCTGCTAGTCTCTGTGGGACTGTCGTCATCTTTAGTGTCTGCGGGACTGTCTTCTTTGTTTAGTTCATATTTATGCATAGTTCACTCTTGTTTGTTTTGTATGATTTTGTTTTATTTTATTTTTATTTTTTGTGTGTTCATATACAGACAAATTGCACTATTTGTCAGAATGATGGAAGACATTTTACATCGCATGGACGATGATTAAAAATATTTGATATGGCGTTGCTGTTTTTTCCACCTGGAATCCTTCATGTTGATATCAACATTATGACAGGGTACAAAAATCACTGTACATTGGCATTGGGAATAATCACAGTAGTTATGCACCAAAAGCAAGTTATTGCCATGAAAAACTTCCTCACTTTTGTAATTAAAGTGCATTTTGTATGTATATGAGCATGGTTTTAGATAGAGAGTGTTATCCTTGTGTGATATATGACTAATAATTTGTTGAGTTTTTTCTGCTGTTTGGTTCATTATTTTGGCATGATATCTTCTGATTCTCAGGCCTTGAAAGTTCTCAGGACAGCCGAGTATGCGCCTTTTGTCGTTTTCATTGCTGCGCCAAGGGCCATAGATTTAAAAGAGATGAAAAATGTCAATGTAAGTTGTTGGAATATAGTATTAAGGTGGAAACTGATTCTCTACCTGATATTTACAAACAAATACCTGTGAAACATGTTGTTAAAATATAATACCTCAGACCCCGCTGTTAAGAGGCTCATTAAAAATGTTTAACTAAGTTGTTCGATTGTTATGTAAGAATGATACAAATAAACTTCCCAGTTTCCGGAAACATAAATGGTGTTGCTGTCAATAGATACAATTTTTCAGATATATTAGTAGTGTAAAATTCAGATGAGGGGCACACATTTGACAGTTGTTTACCAAGTGGAGTGTTTGTTTAGGTTACACCAAACCAAATATTTTCCCTTTGACCTCTGTAGTAACTGTTATATTTTAAAAATTAAATAAGTCATCAACAGTTATTACATGTGTGAATAGTCTTGATTAAAAGTGGCAAGATAAATATTAAAAAAATGTTATTATCTCAGCCAGCGCTTTTTCCTTCTACAGGATGCTAAACATCTAAACAACCCTAGTTCCGCACAAACTGTCAACTGCTTGAAAATGCCTGTGGTCACATTCAGCACTGGATAGATGTACATTTGAAAAACACAAAAATCGTACACAAAATCACCCAATCACAGCAGATGATTCAGTCTGCACTGAAGGCTGTACCTTTCGTGGGCAACAATTAAACATGTACTTAGGAGTGTCCAGTTAATCATAGCAGAGATTGTTGATGGGTTTCTGGAAGTATATGTCATGTCAGAAAAGAAACCAACTGTCAGGGTACCATTTAGACTCATTAACCTGTTTCTGTCTCTATTTTTGTTCGAATTTCCTAAATAGTTCTTGCGTAGGATTTGTATGTGCCAAGTAAAGGGAAATAACTCTATGCATTTTCCTGGTATATGCCTGCAGTGTCCATCACAAGCAGATGTTGATATGTTGGAAAATTGTTCTCTCATTGTTATTTGACTATTTTAACTTCAATACTTAGGAGAGAAATGAAAATGGAAGGATATGTTTTGAATTTTTATTTTTATTTTGGTTTAGGCATTGCTGACTCAACAAAATTGAAATACAAAGAAATAATTTCGATGAAAAGTTTTTTGTATTCTACAAACCAGAAACATGTACAATGTTTACTTTTGCTTTGAGTATTATAAAAATATTAATAACAAATTAATTAGACACTTTTCAAAAATACCCACCCATCACATTATTCCCTACCAACGTTTTGAGGAAATAGGAAATACTTTAAATTTATTTTAGTTTTTGGACATTCTGATTTGATTTATGGTGACAAAATTCCTTTTAAAAAGATTAGAAAAATAAAGCCATGAAACTGATTTGTAATTATGTAAAGATAGTTGATCGCTATGTCCATTGTATGATGGAACTAGTTGTGCCCTGACGACCCTGACCTTGTGATGAGTTCCCTCTGTGATTGTAGGTCAACCTTCCTGTAACCTACCCATAATCCCATGCAGTGTTTCCTGTGTGTTGTCGAGTCAAATCATCAGTCCTAGCACATCAGTCACAATCTTGCGTTTAATTATACCCTTACCCCTTTGCTTAGTGTGTATTGTAGGTCGTCTCTTGTTTCAAACCTTGACTCCTTCGGTCAGTATTTAATGTAGGCTATCACACATGTCAAGAAATTACCATGTCTTCTCTCAGCAAGGGAATTAATTAACTGTAAGTCCAGTTCCCAACCTTGCCAAAATAGGTTGGAACTTCATGGCGCCACCAGAGATTGGTATGAGTTATTTCCCTTTTTATATGTCCCCTTCTATTGCCAAATCCGATTCCATCTCATATGTTGCTAGCATTTGCTTCAAACTAACTGGCAGCCCCCAGTCAAGACCATCTGATCAATTATCAAGATCTTTATTGCAATAAATGTCGTCTTACTTGCAGAGTGCATCAGATCACTTATACAAGTAAAACATATGGAAAAAAACTGTAGACATTCTGCTGATGGTTCACATGCAAATCCTGCAATCGACTGAAGTCTTCACATCAGAGACCATATAATGTATTATAATCTGTTATATGGTCTCTGTTCACAGCAAACCAGTGAAGATCCGGGTTAGAATTAATCTTCAGCAACCCATGGTTGTCGTAAGAGGCGACTAACGGGATCGGGTGGTGAGGCTCACTGGCTTGGTTGACACATGTCATCGGTTCCCAATTGTGCAGATCGATGCTCATTCTGTTGATCACTGAATTGTCTGGTCCAGACTCAATTATTTACAGACCGCCGCCATACAGCTGGAATATTGCTGAGTGCGGCGTAAAACTAAACTCACTCACTCACTGTTCACAGCATCCACGATGTTGTTCAGGAACAAAAAGTCTATTTCTCGACTTGATCTTTATTGGATCATGCGCAGATTCATCAGTACAGCCCAAATATAACTCTATAATTCCATCTTGTCTTGATTCGGTGAGGGTAGAAACTAGACTTCCTGAGTCCGTTCACTCCCTTGCTGAGGGAAGATGCCTTATCCTTTCAGTCAGCATTTAATATAGGCTGCTGCTTATTTCACAACCTTACTCCAATGTTCATTTACCGGAGTAGGCTCTTGTTTAAGGAATATGGTTCTACCCCTAGCGTTTCCCCCAGGAGGCTCAGCAGACATTGTATATGCATGATAACTACAGTCTGTAATCTTGTCTGCATGTGTGTGATAACTGTACCCATGAGAGTATGTGATAACAGCATGAGATCAGTAGGCGCTATATCCTGTATGGACTGACAGTGACGACTAAGCATGCAGTATACTGAATGTGCCACTGTTGACATTGATCATGCATGGCACCAATTGTCTTGTTGAAATCGGACGTCAATCAGCATATACTACTAAGAAGTTCAGGAAGTAATCAATTCTTGCAGGTTAACCTTAAAAAATTAAAAGAATAATGCCATGACATAAACAACAAAAATATGAATGAATTGTGCGCCCAAAATGTTTTGATTAATATGTGTAGACTGGTATATATTTTCATTTGGGTTCTTTACGTACAGGAACATTGTAAACAAATTTAAATTTTCCTTTTTACGTTTTCCCTTTAACTGTAATTAATCCAAGATATTAGTTTCTATTGTGCAGAAACTGTAAAACTCTTTCTCTGATTTCCAATCCTTATCGGGGCGGTGGTGTAGCCAAGTGGTTAAAGCGTTCGCTTATCACGCCGAAGACCCGGGTTCGATTCCCCACATGGGTACAGTGTGTGAAGCCCATTTCTGGTGTCCCCAGCCGTGATATTGCTGGAATATTGCTAAAAGCGGGCGTAAAAGCATTCTCACTCACTCACTCATTCCAATCCTAATCTCTAAATGAATTGATTGGGATGAGTTGTGTGACTAAACTTTAAATACTTCATTTCATCTTTTTCAGAAGAAAAAACATTTTATGTCTAAACAAAATTGAAATATTAAAAACGAGTAGAAGAATTCCTGTGACCAAAGTATCTGGTTACCATGGTGATGAGGGGATGCATGTATGTGTATTCTGGATGTGTGGTGTGATGCAAATAATTTGTCTTAGAAGCAGTTTACTTCAATGAAGATTATTTTGTGAAATTGAAACTTTTCTAGTCTGCTGTTTTGTAATTTGATTTTCATCAATCTTGTGTAGCTTTCATCATGCGTTTCCTATCCTTTTATGGGGAATCCTTATGTTTTGTAGAAATGCTTTAATAAATATTTAAGAATGAAAATCAAAATTTTGTCTTTTGACATTATATATGTATAGTGTAAATAAAAAGAAAGGAATCAAAATTTTATCCCTTTTATTAGGGTTTGAAGTTATTTTTCAGAGGTTATTAAATCTTTTATGTAAATTTTTGTCATGCTATTTTAAAGAACTAATTTTAAAGTACTAATCTCATCACTGAGAAGTTATAGGTTTAAAATCCTTCATTATAAAGACATTAGAATTATGTGAAATGTTGATAAATTTGTAGGGAACTATTTAAGTTAGCTAAACATATTGCTGATTTTAGATATGGTGAAATCTCATTTCAGGATGGCAGTTTGGAGCGACTTGCACGAGAAAGCGAACTTTTGGAGAAGGCATATGGACATTATTTTGATTATAAGATTGTGAATAATGACATTGATGAGACAATAAGAACACTAGAGAAGGCGATTGAAGACGTAAGTGCGACGCAACAATGGGTGCCAGTCAGTTGGGTGTACTGAATGTCCAAAAGTCAATCAAACCAAATATTGATGCCTTATTGTACAGATGGAAGTGCAGGACGCTGCTGTCAGGAGTTGTGGGGATGTAACGCCAAGTGCAGCGCCGTTCATGCTGTTGACGCATCATGTTCCATGAAGGGCGATGACAGCAATGGCTGCAGCTGCATAACCAGGAGCTACTTTGTGCCACACCGAGATGTTGGTTAGTTATCTTCAACAGACCAAACTTCCCAAGTGATTTTCAAAATGATTGGAGCAACAGTTTGCTGCAGCTCAACTGTGATTGGTGGAAATAAATAAGGAAATATGATTGGTCGAAAGGACACCCTACTGATCCAGAATACAGCGTGATGTTTGATTGGTTGTAGGAAAGAAGCTATGATGTTCTGATTGGTGAAGAAAGTTAATTGCTTTCTGACTGGTTGTTGGTTAAGGATCTACTAACTGATTGGTGGATTCAAATTTATTCTGAAAGCTGATTGGTGGAGCCTCTGCTCCATGGACAGAAGAATGGTATGCCTGATATAAGCTGGACTTCCACTGTTTTCTAGACTGAGTAGTTATTCCAGTAAATAAAATGTTTACAAGAAGTGATTGAATGCTTGTGACTGTTGCTTCTTGCAACAAGAAAGATTTATTCGTATTTGCCTCATACTGCTGACGTTCAACTACTGAACACTAGACATGGCGGAGTGCTCTTACTGTATCTGAAGCATTATGTGCTCCAGGTTTTAACAAATTGCAGGGACTTGTTGAGTCCTAATTCAGGTTTGGCAATAACGTAGACGCCCCCACCATGTTTTATGTCTCTCTGCTTCCTCCGTACTGTATAAATGATTGACATGGAACAGAGACTGTCAACAACTTCTTAGAGGATACAGTAACAGTATGTTGAATGGGGGCTTGAAGCAGACGTTGTCTTTTTAGGAGACTCTCAGGTGAGTTAACAGATGAAAGTCTCACCTTTGTGTTTATCTTAGCATCGATATTAATACAGATTTAGGATTAAAATGTACTCTGATCATGATAGGAAGATATCGTTTCCAAAGAATATTTCTAAAGTTTGATTATGGGCAGGTACAAGTGACTTTTTTATTTAATTTTGCACACATTTTGTCAGCACAGTTACTGAGGAATGTTTTTAGATGATATTCTTTAAAAAAAATACATTGATTATTAGAATCTTCCTACCTGGCCACCTGAGTATGTTGAACGGTCTAGATGATTAATGCAATGAAGGAATATGTTAGATGATAGGTTGCATGCCAAGATGGACTCCGAAGATGGTGGCCAAGGTCTAATGTTCCTTAAGAAGAGTTAATTTCGTTCTTTAATTTTACATCATACACTGCATACCTGTTTTAAGAAGTAGAGTTGAGTAGTTTTGGATTTCATTTTCATCTTTGACATTTAATTTGAACTACCGTAAATCCTTGAATAAGCACAAACCTCAAAACTGGTTACACAAAACCAGCCTGGCTGTTAGAGTTAGTAAACTGTCAAGTAATGTTAGTTATAAGTTTGCTAAGAGTGCTATATTGACCTTGCATAACTTGGGAATGACATTTGCCAGAAGTGGTGGGCTTGTATTGAAGTATTTACGGTAGTACAACCAAGGTCAATTTAGTTGCATTGCCAGAGTGCTGTACCTCTGGCATTCAGTTTTGCTTTTACATCCACAATCACAAGAGCTGTTTATTATTTTTTACAGGCTTTCATCGTACACAGCTTTTCATATGGATTGTGTAATATTTTTGAATGTTTCTTTCAATGTGATTATTATGAGAAATTTATTTCTGTATAGTGTTAATCAGAGAATAACATGCTTGCCCTCCCTTGCAATAACGTATACCATGGACCACTTTATGTCCACGTGTCCCCTCAACTTACATGTCCATACAGGTGTCAGACAAGGAGCTGGGGCTAATTCATGGGACCTGCTTTCTTTTCAATATTTCAGCTTTAGATTGTTTTTAAACATGATCATGGATCTTTGTAGTCAGGGCTGTCTTTGATTCCATATTTTTCCCCAGATGTGTTCACCTCTTTCATCTATTAATGTCCTGTATCCACACTTTAGTATTCCTCTGATTGGATCCCAGAGCTGTGGTCAGTAGTTACCGTAATTCCTCTGCTAAACCGGGCATGATAAATAAATATTTTGCTGCTGGTTGCATAATTAGAAAATTGTCAAATATATTAAATTGGCATAGTGTATGAATATTAAAAATGTTAAGTTCACTGTTTCAATTTGTCAATATATTGTAAATTTAAATGATCATGAGAAATGCTAGGGGGATTGAACTTTTGTGATTGACACAAAGGTTATCAAAACCATCCTATACAACTAGACTCACTATTAAATAGTGATGTGTATTTTTGAAATTAAATATGGTTTTGCAGGTGTGTGTGTTGGTCCTTCTATTGAGGTTGCTAGTTATTATTTTCATTAACTCCTGTAGTTCTGGATGTAGTTATCTACCTTGTTTGTTTTGTTTACACTTGTCCTACAGCCAGGGTTGTCATTGATTGGTTAGTACAGTAGTGATATATCATGATATACTCATGCATGAACTAACGATACGTAATAAATATGAGCTGGAATCTAATTATTCCACACATTGCATGTTCCCCAGGAAGTTGAGAATGAAATCATGCACACAGCGATGTACTTACTGGGTAAATAATGTAGCTGTTTACACATGATCTAAGGCGTGGATCTGGTGCAATTTAAGTATGCTTGTTATTATTATAATTATTATTTTATCCATGTTTGCCGAACTTGTCTTACAAGGGGCTAATACAACCATTAGGGTTCCCTGGCTGTATAGCAGTCGCTCATCACACAACTTTCTGAGTTTGAATCTTGGGTGCAATGGGTGAAGCTGATTTTGGTGAGAAGCATATTCTGTGGTTTCCTTGCAGTAGAATGGTTAGAATATTGATATAAAAGGGAATAAAACTCATTTCAAGCATTCAATGTTGGCCCTTTGTTGAAAGACAAAAATCGCCTAAAGTTTAGTGCCTATTTTCTTAGGGTAATGATGGTAATCGTATCAGTTGTGATACAACACAAACATGATATATCACTCTGCTGGTTTTCAATGACAGCTCTGTTTCCAGTTGTTATGTTTGGCTGCTGTTAACTCAACAAGTTAGTAGTCTCACCCAGGTTTTGTATACAAGTTGGTTTTATTAGTCATGTTTTTACTGTGTTCTCGAGAGTTATCCTGATTTTCAGCTTTTCTTAATGAATTGTAGATTAAGTATGCTAGGATGCCAGATATGTACACAAATCAAATAGGGGTGAGAGCGGAGGCTTATTCAGGTTAGTGGCATGAGTTGTCAAATTTTTAGACTTTCTTGTTTTATTTTTTTGTGTACCGATTTCATTTAGTTCTATTGGATTTTGAAAAAAACCTCACTTTCCTAAAGGTTATGGTCATGATGGGTGAGCAAGAGAAAAAACAGGAACAATAAATTCAGAGTAACATGCCATAACTTTGAGAGTTTCTTGTGGCGATAATTTTTTTAATATTTAGATTTATTACTTATGTGAAACTTTGGTTTGGATAATAAAACAACACTTTAATGATTTTTCCCTTGTGTTACATTTCCTGTTTTATTCAAACCAAACTCACCAATTCTTTTTTTTAAACATTAGATGATAATTGTTTTACTCTGACGGAAACTGTATTTTGTCTATTGACAGAGCAGGTTGTGACTTCAGTTTAATTTAGACACAATTCATATCAGATGCAGACACATGTGAGAGCCCTGATTTCTATTTCTGGCTCTTTTTCCTTGTTTCTCCATGTGACATACGGAATGATCTCTGATCAGGTGATTTTACTTGTAGCGGACACAGCCCTTTATAAAAGACTGTCATTTCGCAGCTACACTCACACCCTCAATACAACCATGGAGGAAATGCTGTATTTTGTCCTTGTGTAATTGTAGAGAAAGAAAATATAAAATAAGGACATTTTGTACGTCATATTCATTACTTAAAAACTGTTACTTAATGGTCATGATGTTCTTGATAACGTGCATACTTGTATAGTACATGACAATATTACTTAGTTATATTGCATGGCTATATCATATGGTTATACTATATGGCTATAGCACATAACTTATGATATCATATATAATATGCGAGTTTAAAACATGATGCAGTATTTCAGATAAAGGTTATGAAGTCAGAAATATAGATATTTATTCTGTTCAATATATCCCGTTATAAGATTTTTCTCTATTTGATGCATGGGAAGTATATCAACACACGTAAAATATTTCTGATACATTTCAATTTCCTGGGACTTTTAAGTTTAATGTTGGAATATGAAATGACACTAAACACCATGTGTGTTTTTACACATTATGTCCTGGGCCTAACCCTAGACAATTGTCATAAGAGAACCAACATAGTTGTCATAACCAAATTACTCTCATTTTACTGAAAATATTTAATTTCAGACTTCGATGATAAAGACTGAAACAAATATTTGCCTACCCTCACAATAATCATTTGATAGCTGTTTGCTATAGTACAATGGCAAAAAACTTTATACCATAAACACAAAGTGTAATTTCAATTACAGTAAGTTCATTTTTGAACCAATATTTTGTTTAGAGTGTTGTTTTGGTGTTTTTTAAATTTATGAAATGAGTGAATCGGTAAAGTTATTGACTTTAATTCAGGTTATGATAGAATATATGGCTATTATCCCCATGGGATTTCAGAATAGGTCCCCAGTAACCTGTACGTGTCATGTGGGTACTGGTAAGTCAGATCAGGTCGTCATGGTTACTTGGTTCATTGTTTCATCTTACCAATGGTACTAAACATTGCTCATAATATCAATCACTGGTTTGTCTGGTCCAGACTGTTATTTACTCATCTCCAACTTGACTATTGCTTACTGTAAGTTCATACTACTAAACAAACAAAGGTAGGTTGCCAGGGCTCTAGGCTTACCCAGCTACTATGGCGCTGTTGCTAGGGAACTGTCAAGTGATTGGTTGCTGGTATATTATTTTTGTAACCATAGCGATCATATCATGGTCTCACAGCAGTCATATTCCTGGTTTTCTTCTTCTTGTGGGCCAGGTAATTTGTTTCTTTTTTATTAATTTGAGAAAATGATCCAGGATATTTTGTTAGTAAGGGAACACTGAAATGTTATCAGGAAAAAGACATGATATGACATGAGTCTAAATAAAAATACATTTAAACTTGAATGGCTGTCGGTGTTGTGTGTTGAATATTAATGACCTGTCCTCACAATACCAGAATGGTATGTTCAGCTTACAGTATGGGAATTCAGACATTCAGACACAGTGGTAGGAATTAAGACACTTATGGCGGTGGGAATTCAGACACAGTGGGGCAAATTTGGACATTAAGACACAGTGGTAGGAATTAAGACACTTATGGTGGTGGGAATTTAGACACGGTGGTAGGAATTAAGACACGCATGGTGGTGGGAATTCTGACATTAAGACAGTGGTATTAATTAAGACACACATGGTGTTGGGAATTCTGACATTAAGACACTGGTATTAAGACACTCATGGTGGTGGGAATTCTGACATTAAGACGCAGTGGTTGTTAATTAAGACACGTGGGAATTCTGACATTAAGACAGTGGTATTAATGAAGACACATGGTGGTGGGAATTCTGACATTAAGACACGGTATTAATTAAGACACTCATGGTGGTGGGAATTCTGACATTAAGACACGGTATTAATTAAGACTCTCATGGTGGTCGGAATTCTGACACGGTGAGGGGAATTTGGACATTCAGAGACAGGTGTAGGAATTAAGACACTTACGGTGGTGGGAATTCAGACATGGGGGGATACTGACATTCAGACACAGTGGGAGGAATTGAGACGCTCATGGTGGGAAATCAGACACAGTGGGGGAAATTTGGACATTCAGACACAGTGGTAGGAATTGAGACGCTCATGATGGGGGAAATTCGGACATTTGGACACTCATGGTGGATGAGGATTCGGACAGTGGGGGATTTGGATACTCATGGAGGTGGGAATTCAGACACTTCCAGTGGTGGGGATTCGGACACTCATGGTACAGGGAATTCAGACAGTTACAGTGGTTGGGATTCGGACACTTCCAGTTGTGGGGATTCTGACACTCATGGTAGAGGGAATTCAGACACTTCCAGTGGTTGGGATTCTGACACTCATGGTAGTTGGAATTCAGACACTTACAGTGGTGGGGATTTGGACACTCATGGTAGAGGGAAATCAGACACAGTGGTGGGAATTCAGATACTTCCAGTGGTGGGGATTCAGACACTTCCACTGGAATTCAGACACTTCCAGTGGTGGGGATTCGGACACTTCCAGTGGTGGGAAATCAGACACTTCCAGTGGTGGGGATTCAGACACTTCCAGTGGTGGTGATTCAGACACTTCCAGTGGTGGGGATTCGGACACTTCCACTGGAATTCAGACACTTCCATTGGTGGGGATTCGGACACTCATGGTAGAAGAAATTCAGACACTTACAGTGGTGGGGATTCAGACACTTACAGTGGTGGGGATTCAGACACAGTGGTGGGGATTCAGACACTTACAGAGGTGGGGATTCGGACGCTTCCAGTGGTGGGGAATTCGGACACTCACGGTAGTTGGAATCGGACACTTCCAGTGGTGGGGATTCGGACACTCATGGTAGAGGGAATTCAGACTCTTGCATTGGTGGTGATTTGGACACTCGTGGTAGTGGGAATTCAGACACTCATGGTAGAGTGAATTCAGACTCTTCCAGTGGTGGGGATTTCGGACACTCATGGTAGTTGGATTTCAGACACTTCCAGTGGTGGGGATTCAGACATTCATGGTAGTTGGAATTCAGACACGATGGTGGGGATTCGGACACTAATGGTAGTGGGATTCAGACACGATGGTGGTGATTCGGACACGATGGTGGGACACGATTGTGGGGATTCGGACACTCATGGTAGTTGGATTTCAGACACTTCCAGTGGTGGGGATTCAGACATTCATGGTAGAGGGAATTCAGACACTCGTGGTAGTTTGAATTCAGACACTTCCAGTGGTGGTGATTTGGACGCTCATGGTAGTGGGAATTCAAACGCTCATGGTAGAGGGAATTCAGACTCTTCCAGTGGTGGGGATTTGGACGCTCATGGTAGTGGGAATTCAAACGCTCATGGTAGTGGGAATTCAAACGCTCATGGTAGAGGGAATTCAGACTCTTCCAGTGGTGGGGATTTCGGACACTCATGGTAGTTGGAATTCAGACACGATGGTGGGGATTCGGACACTAATGGTAGTGGGAATTCAGACGGGGTGGTGGGGATTCGGACACTCATGGTAGTGGGAATTCTGTAAAATATGTTCATTTAAGAGACTAGTTGTTAATCTAGGCTTGTTTGTTAAGCATCTTTTAGACATATAATTGAAAACGATAACAGGGAAATATTATTTCCTGTTAAACCTGGAAAACCCCTTGCTTAAATAGACATGACGCCTTTCACTACTGTGTGCTGGTGACATGTGATTCAGCAAGTTAATGTAAACATGCCTTGCTTTATCAACTTCCCATCTCGTCCAGATGTGCTTGAGCTGTCGCTTAGCCCTGACGCGGAGAATGACACAATAACCATATATGGCGATGTCTACATACAATGATACTTTCCTGCGCAAATCTAAAAGCCTTATACGGTGATCACTTTGAGTGGCTTACTGGAAACTTTCAAAATCCAAAATACGACAAACACATTTATCTTAATTTAGACATGAATATCGTATTTTGATTTGATTATTTGTTTCTATGTAACCCGCGAATCTGCAAGTTACATTTCTTATGGTAACCATTCGAGTTGCCGAACTGTTGGTATTACATTTGCAACATACCTACGGTATCTCGATTTGGTTATCTGTGTGGTAGGATGTCGGTTGTCAACCGGTCCCATGGTATCACGGGATGATGTTCCTTCTCTATGTACCGGTTTATGTTCTCCGAGACAGCTAAACGTAATGATAACCCAGGTGTGCCTACAGTTTTTCTTTCACAGATGTATTTTACTGCATGGGTTGCTGAAGGTTGTAGGAAACAAAGTCATAAGAAACAAAGTCATAGATTTGGGTAGGAAAAAAAGGTAAACTCAAAAAAGGTCAGTAATGATAATGTATTTATTTAACAAGTCATAACAATATTATCATCCACAGCACTACCACATTGGAACCTAACTTATAAAATTAATATCGTCATTCAATTAAAATACATGACATCAGAAATGCACTATCACCATAACACTATCATCTGCAACAGCACTACATCAGTCAGTTGTCCTAGCATATTTTATTTAACCGAATGTTCCAGCCAATGCCGTGAAGAGTTTGAGTCACAGTGTTACGGCCAGTCACCCTGTCCAAACACAGATTTTTTAGTTTCTTTTGGAGCTGGATGTGACTTGTTCTTTTCCTCTTTGTCGGAAGGTTGCCCACAGCATCTTGCACAATCATTGTAGCTACTGTTGCGTGTTCTTTTGGGAACCATTCGACTGTACGCCAGATGGAAGGATGCTGGTGTCCGCCGAGTCTAAAAAACTTATTGTTCCAGCCTTCACATATATTATTTGTCCTTCTTATTCGTTGAGGAATGCTTCGTATACAAATGTCCTTCATAACTCACCTTCAAACCTCCCTTACTTGTGGTCAGTAACTCCCAGTTCAACTCGTGTCTTATATTAGCTGCTAGAAAGAAGCCATTTGAGTAAAAGACTTAACTGATAATCCCATGAGTTCATAATCTGTTTGATATCGTCAAGCTCAAACCAAGTTAAACAATCATATGACTTGTTACTTTTAATCCCATAATCCTTTAAGAACTAAACAAATAATAATATGTCCACCTCTCCTGTTTTGATATAACCCCTCTGGTATAAGAGGGTGAGCTGGCGAGAAAATAGATCAATAGAACGTTTTTCACCAATTATGTAACTATTTAGTAAACTCGGAACTTGTTTGAGTGGCATTTTAGAAGTTGAGACGTACAATATAGAACAAGTTTTATGGATAACAACTTCTTTATTTCGTGAGTGCGACGTTTCGATACAGATTCTTGTACCGTTGTCAAGCAAGAGTGATACATGAAGTGTAGGCGCTGCATATATATACTGTATATAACAATGAAACACCATAATAGACAAAGGAAACAACATAATTGCCATGATTGGCTAAGCAGTAAGCTGAAGAAGCCAGTGAGTACACAAAGGATAGTGAATGGAAGCCAGAGATGTAGTTACAATGAGATGTTTAAACAATAGATGCGATGTTTATACAATAGATTGGGCTTGGTGGAGGAGTGGATCATAAGCTGATGGAATGAAGTATCCTTGGTCACGGTTGATGGTGGGCTTGTGGCGTTTGATGTGAATGGCTTCTGTGAGCTTGCGTTTAGTGAAGTCCGTTTGGTTGTTGCCGAGAATGTCTATTATGGTGTTTCATTGTTATATACAGTATATATATGCAGCGCCTACACTTCATGTATCACTCTTGCTTGACAACGGTACAAGAATCTGTATCGAAACGTCGCACTCACGAAATAAAGAAGTTGTTATCCATAAAACTTGTTCTAAACTCGGAACGTTAGATCACTTGTTAACAGTCTTCAATATAATATATAAATGTAGATCGAGTCGCTTTGCTTCAGAAACAAGTTTATAATATGCATTGATAAAAAAGATCAATTTGACCAGTGTTTGTGTTTTTGTAAGAGACTAAGAGTGCCAATAAGAGTATTCGTATTTATCACAACATGGTATAATTTTTACAGAGGCCGTGAAAATTGATTTAAGGAAGGTTATGTTATTTCTCGCGAAAATGAAAGTACTGGTCAGCATGGGAAACACGGGGGAAATACAGCTTTACTAGGACGAGTCGTGTTTGAAGATAGATACCCGTGAAGATCAAGGTTAGAATTGATCTTCAGTAACCCATGTTTATCTGAGGCGACTAACGGGATCGGGAGGTCAGACTCGCTGACTTGGTTGACACATGTCATCGGTTCCCAATCGTGTAGGGCAGCGCCCACAGTGTCAATCACAGTGCTGTCTGGTTCAGACTTAATTATTTCGAGATATATAGCTTGGAAATTGCGTAGTGAGGCGTAAACGAACAAACAAACAAAACATAGTATCACGAAGTGTCATGGCAGCCACGTCCAAGCCGGCACCAAGTGGCAGTTGTGAATGGTTCTCGGAGCAAGAGCCTGGCGCCATCGATTATCCATAGTCGATCCTAAATGACCCCTTGGTTACATTCTTACAATGTCTTTTATTACTCCCTGGAAGGACACTATGTCCAATATTCTCGAACCGTCGTGACAACACGTTGCATTTAGAAAGTATTTTTTGTGCTGAGTTCTATCTTCATCACACAGGTGGGGTAGCCCAGTGGTTAAAGTGTTCTCTCACCACACCCAAGACCCGGGTTCGATTGCCCACATGGGTACAATGTGTGAAGCCCACTTCTGGTGTCCCCCGCCTTTGATATTTCTGGAATATTGCCGAAAGCGGCGTAAAACTAAACTCAATCACCAATTCATCACACAGCTCTTTTGACAGAATGCGGGATGGGGAAAATAGCATCCTGATCCGAACTTGTAAACAACTCAGAACAAACTATGTAATCCACTATGACGAACTTGTAAACAACTCAGAACAAACTATGTAATCCACTATGACGAACTTGTAAACAACTCAGAACAAACTATGTAATCCACTATGACGAACTTGTAAACAACTCAGAACAAACTATGTAATCCACTATGACGAACTTGTAAACAACTCAGAACAAACTATGTAATCCACTATGACGAACTTGTAAACAACTCAGAACAAACTATGTAATCCACTATGACGAACTTGTAAACAACTCAGAACAAACTATGTAATCCACTATGACGAACTTGTAAACAACTCAGAACAAACTATGTAATCCACTATGACAGGAATAAAAGCATCAAACTCCAAATCATAAAGTAGGAAAATATTCATATTGCAAGAGAAATGGGTGTACTGTAGCAATACGTGTACAGAGCCCCAGTGCTGTCCTGGTGATATTTAACTTTATGGGGTGAATTCATGTAATTTATGTTTGTTTTTTGTGTTTTTGACATTCCCGGTATTTTGTTAGTTGTTGAGTTTAACTTTCCTTTTAACACCGAAATGTTCTCATTTATTGTGGAAAAACATTCTTAATCAAATTCAGTATGTATTAGGTAATATATGGTAGTCCAAAATGGTTTAGGAGTGAGTGAGTGAGTGAGTGAGTTTTACGCCGCACTCAGCAATATTCCAGCTATATGGCGGCGGTCTGTAAATAATCGAGTCTGGACCAGACAATCCAGTGATCAACAGCATGAGCATCGATCTGCGCAATTGGGAACCGATGACATGTGTCAACCAAGTCAGCGAAACTGACCACCCGATCCCGTTAGTCGCCTCTTACGACAAGATAGTCGCTTTTTATGGCAAGCACATGGGTTGCTGAAGACCTATTCTAAAATGGTTTAGGAAGTAACACTGGAGAGTGAGTTTATTTTTACGTCGCTTTTAGCAATATTCCAGCAACATCACGGCGGGGGACACCAGAAATAGGCTACACACATGTATACCCATGTAGGGAATCGAACCCCGACCTTCGGCGTGGCGAGCGGACGCTTTAACCACTTGGCTAACCACTGCCCAAGTAACACTGGAAAAGAATGAAAGCAATGTATTTATTTATTGAGTTGTTTTAAATATACCTTTACTGAGCAAATATTTAGCGGAAATTATTCGTTGTATTTATGCTACTGGAAATGTAATTTGATCGAAACAGTTTGTCGCGTGTTAATGCATCGCATAAAGATGTTTCTTTTGTGCATTGAACAGCTTGTGCCTTCAAATACTCTGTGCAGATGGTCTGGTTACGATCGCCCATTTCAGCTGTTAATAAACTGAAGTATGACTTGTAACCACTGTTTTTAAACCTTTTGTATTTGACCTTGATTGCACGTGATAGAGCTTTTTTATTAGCACACTTTCAGCAACGCATTACCGAGCTATATATAGATATGGGAAGCCCCGACGTGGTTCTAAAAATAAATCTACTCGGGCTGCAACTATGCACAGCGAGCTAGTCACCAATGCATGGAGCACTGTATCTATACGCAGTTGGAACTAAATAATTGGTGAATGTGACTGAATGAACCATGTGTTCCCCATAACGGACCTAAAGGGGCACCACATTATCCGGGAGGAGTTAGTTCGTGGAAAACAGTCACGTGACACTGGACAGGTGACAGCCCCGCGTGAAAGTGTATGAACTGTTTCGGGCTTCTGGGATAAATAGTGAGTGTCATAAAATGTTTCCTTGCTGAAGGGGTATCAACCGTTTGTACTGTCTAATGCCATGGGCTTAACAGTGTGGCTAAATACCGGGTTATAACCTACATTTACCTGTAACGCGGAGGACACGCGAGAGCGCAGCGTCTATAGCGATGCACACCTTGCCTTGTTTAACAATGCTGGTGTGTGTGACTGTGCCTTGCTGCGTAACGAGGAGCATCAAACAGCATATTGACAGTAACAGAAGCGATCTTCGGGCCCTAAACACGAATGCCAATATTGGCGGTGGCGACTCCAGTAACGACAATCTAAACTCACTTGGCCGTCCATTGAACGATCAAGATACTACTGCTGCCGATCGCCGTCAAATGACCAATGGCAATGTTGAAGGCAAGAGATCTGGGAGTCCTACAGATAGTGAGACAAATATGAATGTTCTGTCTAATGTGAACTCAGAAACCAGCGGACAACGACGTACAAACAGCAACATGGGCCGTGATATAAACAGAACTGACAAAGTTGTTGAAGGAAACAGCACCAACTACTCCGTTCAGAGTGGGGTGAAACACGGCACCAGCCCCAACAAGTCAACGAAGAAGAAAAAGGACGAGAAGCCCAACGAGACGATCCACGCAAGGGAAAAAGGTAAATTGGTTGTTTTTTGTACTCCGTTATAAAAGTGGCTAAAATTAACGACCACCTGTTTCACTGACCATAAAATGAATATTATCTACAAATCAGTATAGGACCGGTGGGGTAGCCTAGTGGTTAAAGCGTTCGTAAGTCACGCCGAAAACCCGGGTTCGATTCCGCACATGAGTACAATGTGTGAAACCCATTTCTGATGTCCCCTGCCGTGATATTGTTGGAATATTGATAACAGCGGCGTAAAACTAAACTCACTTACTACAGATCAATAGAAGAAGTTAACCCATCTCACCAGCAGCAGCCCAATCGTCTTAAGGGCCGCATTTCGCTGCGCAGAGTTGTTTCCCTTTGGCAGCCAACTCACTCATTGTTTAATTATAATACCATAGCAACAGTTGAATATAATTAGTACATAACATCACACATTCTCGAGACGGGTGTGTAAGATCTTGAGAGATAACCTCACATGTTTTTCTCTTGATCCATGCAGGCGGAGCCAGCCTTCATCTAGGTGTAACCAAAGGTGTACATCAAAAGACATTTCATAAAGCACCACCCTCCCAGACATCGCTACATGTTGTGTACAGCTTCCTACTTTTCCTGGCTGTTATACTTGTGTTACTTGGTATGGTGTTTCTGGTCGTCAAGTGTCATAAAAGTTCCGACAATGTTAGTGACAGTCGGAGTGAGACATTCGGAGCTCAACACAGTGAGTGTGACAGCCAGACACGTGAGAACTTGAGAACGGACGTATGAAGCATTTAGTAAAAGCATCGTACGTATAGTTACGTATGAACATTCGACATATGAAGCATGCAGTGAAAGCATTGTGCGTTTAGTTACGTATGAACATACGGCGTATGAAACATTCATTGAAAACGTCGTACACATAGTTACGCATGAACATACGTACGAGGCATTTGGTGGAAACATTGTGCGTATAGTTAAAAATGAACATATGACGTATGAAGCATTTAGTAAAAACATTTTGCGTTTAGTTACATATGAACAAAAACTGCGTATGAAACATACATTGAAAACTTCGTACACATAGTTACGTAGGGACATACGTATGAGGCATTCGGTGAAAACATTCTGCGTATCTATAATGGAGTGCGACAGTAAATTAGGGAACGGCTCCCTCGTGGAATTGTGACTAGCAGTCAGCACGGCTGGGGACAAAGGGGACACAGGTGTCTCTGGCAAGTTGTTTTGCCTATAACCTATAGTTTATATTAATAGTATTTAACCTATAGTTATGGGTCTCCGGTTCGTAGGGCATTCCTCCAAAATCACTATGACATGCCATGATATAACTGAAATGTTGTTCAAAGGAGCGTTAAACCAAAGTCACCCGCCTACTTCAGCATATATATCCTGTTGTTTCTGGAGTGGTTCGACTCTGTTATTGAGATCCTATTGATCACATGATGCCCTGTTGTCACGGTAGATAAACCCACCGTGTCCTACATGTAGCTGACGTGGTTGTTTGTTGTTTAACGCCGCACTCAGCAATGTCTCAGCTATATGGCGGCGGTCTGTAGATAATCGAGTCTGGATCAGACTATCCAGTGATCAACAGCATGAGCATCGATCTACGAAATTGGGATACGATGACATGTGTCAACCAAGTCAGCAAGGTTACCACCTGATCCCGTTAGTCGCCTCTTACGACAAACATGGGTTGCTGGAGACCAATTCTGAGATGTATATATGTGTGTGCTAAATTATACTGTACGTGATACTACACTGCCAAGCCACAACACTCGATCATCAGTTTCCATAAAAAGAGACATTTGTTATATGTTTATGATTATATTACAATTTAAAAAAACAATAAATTCTATGTAAATATTTTCGAAACTGGAAAATATATAACATTATTTCGGCTTTGGCACATTTTTACATTGTTGCTTTTGTTTTGTATAATTGTATATTCGTCTTGTTATTTCCAGTCATTTGTTGATCTCGCGATTGTCTGCTTGTTGTTTTGATGTATGTCGCACAGCTTCAAAATCAGCAGAATTATATATGATCTCATTTTAGCTCGCAATTAACTGTCCACATTTATGCCCTTAGTTGTACCAGGATCCGCTGAGCTTGTGCCATGATGATCCCGAGTCTTCCTTAGTGTTCAAGTCTGCACTAAACCTACCTCACTCTCTCTAGCAGTGTGCGAAATAGCTACTGGCCCGCTAGCCCGCGGCTAGTAAAAATCCAGTCTCGCCAGTAAATCTTCACAGTCACCGGCCAGACTGGCTAGTGAATTTTCATGCGGTCATTTTGTAAATATATCACTCTCTCCGACTTGTTAAGTCTAACAGACTTTTAAATCATGCAAGATATGACCCGATAAAAATGTTCCTAATATTAACAGCTTAATGATCAAAACCCGTGTCTACATTCAAATTTCGGACTAGTGAATTATTTTGTGGGCTATAGTAACTTTCAGGCATAACGACTCGCTAGCAACATTTGGAAACTATTTGGCACTCTGTTCTGTATCCCCGTCACTCCTCTTTGCCATAATAAGTAAAGGAATCTGTACAAAATCTTCACAAAGTATTCTTTTGATCTGTATTTGTACATAATGAACTGAACAAAAAAAGTAAGTGATGATGATTATTTTAGGGGAATATGATTTTTATGAAATTGTGTCTTTTCAGTAAATATATAGTGCTTGTTTTACACTCAGCAATTGTGATCGAGTCTGGGTGTTTGCCTGCCTCTCTCTTCTCTCAGGAATCATCTCATTCTGATCTCTCCTGCTTCTGTTCAGGTCGACTCTGCAGCTGACAATCTCTCATTTAACATACTTGCATGTTTGGTGCTATAGTCTGTCTCGCAGTCTCTGAACCATGATATGTTCCCTACTTCCTAGCCCTCTGTGCAATGCTAATCCTGTAAATGAAACCACTCTAGATTTCCACAGGTTCAGGGTCTGTTTACATCTGCAAGAAAACTAACTCACTTTAGGGGTCGGGTTACAAAGTAAACATATCTAACTGTCAAACTGTCTAACCCCAATGCAGATGTTATTAGTCTTGGAATCTCCGGTCTCCTGGGGCTCCTTTTCAAATTAATGGATTTATTTATACAAATCAAATAAATAAATAAATGAATAAATAAATAGATATAGATAGATAGATAGATATATTCAGAGACTAAGCGTTAGTCTAATGGATTTATTTATACAAATCAAATAATAAATAAATAAATAAATATATATATATTCAGAGACTAAGCGTTAGTCTAGTATATATATATATATATTCAGAGACTAAGCGTTAGTCTAGTATATATATATATTCAGAGACTAAGCGTTAGTCTAGTATATATATATATATTCAGAGACTAAGCGTTAGTCTAGTATATATATATATATTCAGAGACTAAGCGTTAGTCTAGTATATATATATATATATATATTCAGAGACTAAGCGTTAGTCTAGTATATATATAATATATTCAGAGACTAAGCGTTAGTCTAGTATATATATATATATATATATATATATATTCAGAGACTAAGCGTTAGTCTAGTATATATATATATATATTCAGAGACTAAGCGTTAGTCTAGTATATATATATATATTCAGAGACTAAGCGTTAGTCTAGTTTATATATATATATTCAGAGACTAAGCGTTAGTCTAGTATATATATATATATTCAGAGACTAAGCGTTAGTCTAGTATATATATATATATATATATTCAGAGACTAAGCGTTAGTCTAGTATATATATATATATATATATATATATATTCAGAGACTAAGCGTTAGTCTAGTATATATATATATATATTCAGAGACTAAGCGTTAGTCTAGTATATATATATATATTCAGAGACTAAGCGTTAGTCTAGTTTATATATATATATTCAGAGACTAAGCGTTAGTCTAGTATATATATATATATATTCAGAGACTAAGCGTTAGTCTAGTATATATATATATATTCAGAGACTAAGCGTTAGTCTAGTATATATATATATATATATTCAGAGACTAAGCGTTAGTCTAGTATATATATATATATTCAGAGACTAAGCGTTAGTCTAGTATATATATATATATATTCAGAGACTAAGCGTTAGTCTAGTATATATATATATATATTCAGAGACTAAGCGTTAGTCTAGTATATATATATATATTCAGAGACTAAGCGTTAGTCTAGTATATATATATATATATTCAGAGACTAAGTTTGGGGTAGTGTCCCATTTTTGACAGCGTCTTGGTCACTGATCCATTAAGGTGTGAAGTTTCGCTGTATGTAGGATACAAATAAAACCAAATTAAATTTGAAGTTAGGAAAAAAAACTTTGAATCATTTTTTGCTTTAAGCTTTGAAGATGAATTATCATATATCAGGTTGTTTTTTTGTAAACACAAGACCAGTGAATGATTTGTTGGTGGTGATCGGTGACGCAACACAGTTCGATCAAGGGAAATTGATTTTCCAATGGATTCCGACTGGTATTATATTTGTATGTTTGTTATTGTTTTATATATTTTTTCATTATCAAATGAATAATGAATTGTCAATAAACAATAAAAAAATATTATTGATATTATTTTTAACAACACTTTCACAACTATCACGCTCAGCATGGTGTAATGTTTCAGAGTCGCCTCTCTAAACTCTGATATTTTATCCTATATTAAACCTAATTGCCATGCCATTGCCGTAATTCTGTTTGCTCATATCAGAGCGTCTACTGTACTGTAATTGATTATTCCCAACTAGGTTACAGATTAATTGGCAACACGTGTTTATATGCTCGACGCATCTGTGACACCTAAAGCTAATACTACAGCACATTACTAACCAGACAATTGAGTGGAGCCGAAGGTCTATCTCGCTGCCTGTATTTGTCTGATGCCAATTGCTTGTTTCCTTGTACCGGACTTACACAAGGTTTTGCAGACCCGACTCAGAACGTCAGGCGAGACGGCGTCATGTTGACAAAGGGATCAGTTAGCCCGGGTTCGATTCCCCACATGGGTGCAGTGTGTGATGTCCATTTCTGGCGTTCGCCGCCGTGATATTATCGGAATATATCACAGAGATTTCGGTTTTGGCGGTAGATATTATCCTTGTATCGATTACACCACCAGTATTTACACAAGGGTGTGTGCTGGTTGAATATCTGTCCGCTTAACCACGTCCTTGAGGATCACACCTTGTGCTCGGATCCTGCATTCCGTCTCCATGGCAATGGTTCTGAATTACCTGACGCACACAACAAGGCTTAGAGAAGGAGGGACATCAGCAACGTCCTTGAGGGATCGGGATGCCTCCTTTCTTGTACCAGACTGACACAAGGTGTGCAGCCCTCAGGTGTGCAGTCCTCAGGTGTGCTGTCCTCAGGTGTGATATCCTCAGGTGTGCTGTCCTCAGGTGTGCTGTCCTCAGGTGTGCAGTCCTGAGGTGTGCTGTCCTCAGGTGTGCTGTCCTGAGGTGTGCAGTCCTGAGGTGTGCAGTCCTCAAGTGTGCTGTCCTGAGGTGTGCAGTCCTCAAGTGTGCAGTCCTCAGGTGTGCTGTCCTCAAGTGTGCAGTCCTCAGGTGTGCTGTCCTCAGTTGTGCAGTCCTCAGGTGTGCAGCCCCCCAGGTGTGCTGGTTCTGCGGTTTCATCCCAGTTCTTCTCAGGGGAATACCGCTAAATCAGATTTGTTTGTTGTTGAACGCCTCACTCAGCAATATTCCAACTATATGGCGACAGTCTGTACATAATCGAGTCTGGATCAGGCAATCCAGTGATCAACAGCATGACCATCGATCTACGCAATTGGGATACGATGGTGTGTGTCAACCAGGTCAGCGTTAAACAACCAACCAAATCTTTGTGACCTGTTTAACATCGCACCCACCAATATTCCGTCTGTATGACAGTTTTATGTAAATAACTGAATCTGGACCAGACAATCCACTGATTGACATGATGTACACATTCAGGCAAACTATCCTAAGATTACAACACCAAGTTCCACTTACACAAAGCAGCGTTAGCACTACGGCAATGGTAAACCTATATTAAAGTATAGAGTGAGTGAAATATTACTTAGCGTCACATCGGCAATATTTCAGCCATTTCGTGACGTTTTGAAGTGTACAGAAGTAGCGCTAAGATAGCTTTGTGCCAGCGGGCCCCTGGGACACATTACGTGGGGGTAAGTTTGGTCTATGACATGACGTGTCGGAAAACACAGAACGGTTTGGGTTTTCCACACAATGAATCAATAGATTGTCGTCGACTTCAGACACATCCAACTATATATGCATTCTATCGCGTGAAGTGTGTAGCACAATGAAGTTGATCTAGACGAACAGGAGATCGCATACAGTATTATTTCTGTAAACCTGATGATAACAGGTGAGTACAGAAATAGATTTGTTTTCACCGAAATCCTTTGTCTACCCATCCTTCAAGAGACGGATCAGAGGTCAACCGGATACGCTACTGTAAGCCTAACATTCAGTTAAAATAAAACATGCGTTTTCGTACTGAGAGACAAATAATATGCATTAGCTTTCCCGTGGTTATTTTACTGTTGAGCCGTGTTGTCTATGTGCAGTCATGTTTGAAACAGTTGCATTCAGATTGTAAGGAGATACCTCATGCATGTCGTCGGAACTTTCGGTTTTGGCGGGAAGCGGTACATCCGAGCAGACGATATTATCTGTGTGTTGATCATGCAACCTACACGGCCATTATCTACACAAGCGGGTGTGTGCGGGTAGATACACAAACAGGTGTTCGTTTCACCATGTCCTTGAGTATTGAGACCTTGTGTTCGGATCCTGCATACCGTCTCCATGACAACGGTTCGACGTTACTTGACTCACACAACAAGCCACAGAGACAGAGGGACATCAGCGACGTTGATAACGGTTCCCTGCCTCGTGAAGAAGACGCCAATGATACCAACTGTGACAACAAAACCGACTGCAGCCATGACGATGTTGATGACAACGGCACTGTTGATACCGTCCAGAATGGAAAGGGTAAGTACATGCTTGCTGACGTGGATATTCATGGGCGGATCCAGGAATTTTGAAAGGAGGGTGGGGGTGGGGTTCAGGGTTTCGAACCCCTGAACCCCCATTGGCTCCGCCAACGCAAAATAAAATCTTCAACGAGGTCTTAAGTTTCGAAAACAACAACAAAACCCCCACCCCAACCCCACCCCCACCTCTGGATCCGCCAATGATATTCGAGTGTCTTTAGGAGGGGCGTTCGCCTGCACATACACACTATGCTTCAGATGATGGTAATATTTCTTGAGATTCGAACATCATCGCGCTTACAACTTCATGACGTTTTTCCCATCGATGTAGCTTGAAAGCAACACAGAAAAACAAATATTTTTAGAAAATTCAGAAAGTAACACACACCCCTGTTCATAAAATGGATTTGTCAGAGATTGCCGAGATCTCATTGCATTGAGACTCGTAATTATTGAAACATGTTGAAAACTGGTAAATGTGGCTAACATCATAAAGAAGCTGTACATAATGTAGCTCATATAACGATAAAAACACCAGTTATTACTTATCGTACAATGTCTAAATCTGGGTCGTGTTGGTTGTAATTCTTCATTCTGAACTGGTTTCAAATGAATGAAAATAGTTAATTCGGGTCCACCGATGCGTACGTCTCTCGTCACAGTGGAATATTGGGAAATCACGGTCGGGGGAATTCCCTTTCTGCTCATCTGTGTCATCATAATATCTATTGTCTGAGTTTAGTGCCATTTTCGGTATCATACACACTAACAACAATACCATGACGGCGTCAACACCCACTGCACTAACGCCGGTAGACCAACGTATAGTCTCTGAAACGAACATATCTTACAGAAAAAACAGCCTCCTAAATTATAATGATCTACTATACTGAGTCAAAAAAGAAACTTCACATTCTTTCTTCAGGGCACTATAACAGAACAAGAGATGTTAAGATGGTTAAATTGTTATTATTTCATTGCTGAGATCTGTGTGATGTACTCGATACACTGACAGTGCCATAATCAGTTCCATTAGGCTACATCACCGTTCCAAAACATGGGTATACAGAATGTCAAGTCACAAGAATAAAAATGCGAAATTTCTCAGTTCAATATCGTGTATGGCCGCCCCGCGCATTCACCACTGCCAAACACCGTCTCCTCATCGACTGCCTGATGCTTGTGAACACGTGGTTGGGGATTCTGCGCCATTGCTCTTGCAAGGCGGCGCCAAGTTCCTGCAAATTCTGAGGTTGCTTCCTAAGACCACGAAGCCTTCCCCCAAGTGCATCCCAAACGTGCTCTATTGGATTAAGGTCAAGGGACCTCGAAGGCCAGTCCATGACGTTGATTCCAGCGTTTTGAAGGACATTTCGTGTCAACATCGCGGTATGCGGCCGAGCATTATCATGCTGGAACTGTAGACCTGGGCCATGAGCCGCCATGAAAGGAACGAGTTCAGGGGTGAGCACCGGGTCGCGATAAGCAGCAGCTGTGAGGTTTCCACGGATGACCAGAAGTCGGGAACGGTTGTTCCCACAGAAAGCACCCCACACCATGCAACTTCCGCCCCCGATTCTGTCGACTTCCTGTACACAACATTGGGCATACCGTTCACGACGTCGTCTCCAGACTCTATGCCTGCAGTCCGCGAATCTGAGGGTAAACCTGGATTCATCGCTAAAGACGACTCGATTCCAGTCTCTCTGGGTCCATCGGAGGTGACGCTGGGCCCACAGCAGACGTTGACGTTGATGAAACGGCGTCAATATTGGCCCACGATATGGACGTCGAGAATGGAGATTGGCAGCCCGCAACCGATTTGGAATGGTCTGTGAGGACAGTCGACCTCTAAACATCTCAGCCCTGGTTCGTGTAGCCGGCAGAAATCTGTCACGTAGGTGACGTAGGACGATTTGACGGTCTTCTGCTCGTGACGTCACACGTGGACGACCCGACTTTGGGCGATCAGAAGTGGTGCCAGTTTGTTGTAGACGACCTCGCAAGTCATACACACTACGACGGCTGCATCCCATTGCTCTTGCGACGTCAATAACTGATCTTCCCGCTTGCAACATGCCAACGGCACGTTCACGTTGCACATTTGATAACATTGGCATTTCAAGTACCGTTAGAACTGTGGTGTAAAAGTGTTTTTTCAATTCTTGAGGCCAATGCAAACACGTGCATATGAAGAAAACTTCGATGCGAAGATCACGTGCACGTGATCGACTGCACGTGCAAAACCTGATTTGGCACTAACGTCATTTGCACGAGGAATGGATGGGTTTGAGTAGGTTTTGCTATCGTTTTTCTAGAGTCGAAAGATAGGAATCCCATTTCGGATCCATAGATGTATCATCAGAGAAAAATTATTCATTATTTTTCAAATTACATTTTGTGAAGTTTCTTTTTTGACTCAGTATATAATGAAATGGAGCTAAGAGACTTTCTTCATTTTCAGTCTGAAACTGTGGAAATCTATACTTGCCACATATTCTAGCCTTGCATGGGCTCTCTTGGATATATTTGTTTCAGGGTCTGTATAGCAGACTAAAACACCGCCATCACACAACCTCGGGTCCACAAATGTCGAATGTTCTCCCCGACTTCGGTAGTCAGTCGTACAGACGCTGAAAAATAACACCCAATACTACCCGTGCAAGTCTATAATATGTGGCAAGTCCAGATTACTGTAATTGAAGAAAAGTCTCTTTTCTATTTATTGTATTAAGCTTAAGGTGATTTAGTAAAGTATGTTCATGTCAGAGACTCCATAGGTTTTAGTGTACTTCTGCAGCAGTTCTTCTTCCCGCCACTTGTCTTGATTGACAGGTCCTATGAACCTTGTTTTATGTGACATTGTGTTGATTGGCTGCTGATCTTGTGGGCGTGTCTTGAGCCCAAATTATACAGTCTTTAATACGTGTCCCCTCACAGCATTCATACGTGTAGAATGTTTATCAGTCTTTTCGTCAATGTGTGAAGCCCATTTCTGGTTCCCCCGCCGTGATGTTGCCGTGATGTTACTTTGGTTGATAGCTCATAGGTTTGATTAGATATGGACACAGGTATAAGTAAATTCACCAAATAATCTATCTATCTATCTATCATCTGTCTGTCGTTACCTACCTACCTACCTACCTTTCATCCGTGCCGCTATCTCCCCATCAAAGATTTCATCTGTTGATCTATATACTTATCTTCAGGTGCCACTTCCGGTTCTCATGCAGTCTCTGAAGGTTCCAGATTACCCAGCGTCCCTATCCTGCCAACCGTCGCCATGGTTGTTATAGCAACACGTCAAGCCTGGTAGTGTTTTATTAGCATAAACGTTCTTGCACTGCAGTACTGCCGGGTCCTCACTTTTCCAACTAGAGTGAACCCTCGTTATTTCGGACAGTACCGTTCTTCGGGAAATTCTCCAGGTAAAACATTTCCGCATTGATGGGTTCTGACAACGGACAAATGTAATTTATAGGAAGGCGTTCATAAAACCAATCTGCCGGATAGCAGAGTTTCCAGGGTCCAGACTAACGAGGTTTTATTGTATAGCAGTTGGTACTTAACACAAGAACAGGAGGAAGAGATACAAATGGTGAGGACACAGACAGGCGTCCTGACTCAAACGATTTAGCGTCTTCCTGGCGAATGAGATGTCGATAGTTCGACCCCAGGTAAAAAAACAGTTAGAAGTAGTATTACTTCCCCGATGTAACAAATTTCCGAGTATCGACCTGGTATTGATACTTTCTTGAACATGTGCCATTTTATACTTTAAACCAAATTTAGAAAAAATCTTTTTCGTTTTTGAAAATTCTACAAATTTTTGTAACAGATATGGGAAAATGGTTACTTTTCGCCTAGAAAATATCTTAAAACATGAATCATTTGTTTACATTCACTTCATTCACGTTATAATCACTTTGTGGTTGGAAGATATGTTGTTACAATAGCAAGGACTATTACAACCTATCTCTGCAAAACAATATGTACAACGCATTGAAAGGCTTCCATTAGGTCAATCTGCTCTCGTGTGAGACTAAACGTGTGTATTTACAAGACAAGTGAGCCGAAAGGGGCGGGGCCTCATATAAATAGGAATGTTGTCACCTGTGACGTAACTGACCGATCCGATGTTGAAGGGAGTATAACCTTATGTGTATAAATATTATGGTTCTCACGGGAATTTGTGTACGTTCTCTTCCAACGTTGTAGTAAATATGGTTGTGCTCTGTACATTCACACACACACACACACACACACACACACACACACACACACACACACACACACACACACACACACACACACACACACACATATCTATATCACGTGACTGCGCTGAGCTATGACGTAAATGACTGACTGACTGACTGACTGAGTTTGGTTTTACGCCGCTTTTAGCAATATTCCAGCAACATCACGGCGGGGAACACCAGAAATGGGCTTCACACATGACGTAAATGACCAATCCGATGTCGAAAGGAGCACAACCTTATGTATATAAATAGTATCATGTTTTCCACTTTCGAACGTCCATGACCTCGTTGTACTGAATACTGCTGTGTTTTGTACATTTGTATCACACTCACATGACTTGAAGTTCGCATTTGAGTGTTACACAAATGTAGATTTGTACTAAGTTCTTATTGTGTTTTCGAAGAAGAAAGATAAATAGGGGATATCTACCGGTATCCACCAGTGAAGATCCGGGTTAGAATTGATCTTCAGCAACCATTGGTTGTCCTAAGAAACGGGGTCAGGGGATCCAACTCGCTAACCTGTGTCATGTCATCGTATCCCAACTGCGTAGATCGATGGTCATGATGTCAGTCACTGGCTTGTCTGGTCCAGTGCTGATTATTTACCGACCGCAGCATATAGCTGGAATATTCCTGAGTGCGACGTTAAAAACCAAAACAACGTAAGCATAGCATTATTAATTGTTGTCATCCGTGTTTTTGAAGCTATTTTATTGTTTTTGTACGGTCATATTTGTCTTTTTAATTAACATTAATCAAAGCTATCAAAAATAGTTATCTTCATGAATCACGAATTTGCTTGTACATCTGGCTTAGTATCAAATTCAATTATGCACTTGTGTATAAGTACAAACTGGTCTTGTCGCAGTGTGGTTGAAATAACACCGACACGACGATGGATTTTAAACTCACTCACTCCAGGTAACACTGACGGATAGGGCACGTGTGTAACGATCAAAACTGGGATACGATTTCGTCTCTCAAGCCTTCAGTGCAGAGTGAATCATCTGACAGTTGTGATTGGGTGATTTTGTATACGATTTTTGTGGGTTTTTGTTAAATGTGTTTCCAGAGAGTGCTTAAAACTGAAGATATTTTGTATCATTTAATGCTGTATATTTTGACATCATGATTTATACTGAATGTGAACACAGGTATTTTCAAGCGGTTCACATTTTGTGCGGAACTGGGGTTGGCGTGTTTAGATTCCTGTACTCAGAAAAGGAGCTGAGGTAGTTATATATATATATATATATGTGACCTTCTGGGCGTGGCCTATATGACACATATTCATACGTTTGCTTAAAGAGCTCATTTGGATGAATTCCGTTCCGTATAATGATTATGAATAAACCGCTTGGCGTGAAACACGTTTTCTTGGCGCATGAATGAGAGCATCAGGTTATTTTTGTGTTTAATGTGGTTGCTCATGGCCTTGTGCGCTGATCATAGATCCCATTTGAGGTGGAGTAAAACAAAAGTTGGTCGAGGCGAGGATTTGGAGGGTGACCGGTTCGACTACTAAGCTAAAATGGATAGAATTATCATTAATACGGCCGCATGTTATTAGAAACGATAATCCCCCCAAATTGCTTTAACGACGGGCCATTACCATGCCCGTTGTTAGGTGACTTGAACTCTAACGTTGTTGAGCATTGACAAAAATGGCGGCTGGTAGTATGGGCAAAGGTCAAGGTCGAATGTCGTCATTCTCAATAGTGACGTCATCCTTTTTGTTCTATGACTTTTCATATTTGTAAACGTGTGTCAGTGACCTCCATCGTTTGTTGTTAGCAGTAAATGCTTCGAAACCGATACCGCTGTTTGTTTTGTTTTTTAAAAAATTTCTATCCATTCAAGGACGTGTATATACGTCTTTGATCCATTTTATGGCTATAATGACGGTAACGCTATTTTTCAGGGTTTTCTCATTTGCAGAATCCCTCGGTCTTTTCATGAATGACCTCGGGCTTCTGCAAATCATAATGCCCTGAAAAATAGCGTAACCCTTATCTTAGTGCTGAATGACATGAAGCGCATATAGTGTCACCTGTGGCAATGGGCTTTTCCGAAGTATCGTGTGTGCACCCAGCAGTGACATACCTAAATATTCACTCCGAAATACCTTCTTCGGGCTCAGGGAACACAAACAAACATCGAGGGTACATCAACCCATGGGCCCCGAGGGACCAGTGAACAACGTATTTATCTTACCGAACACCTTAATGTTAATTTTGAATTGTTTGAAGCACGGGTACAAATCTTTTTGTAGCCATCGCTAGATTTTGCTGACAAGAAAAACAGATTATCTCCCTTCCATCGAGTTGCATTCGCAAAACATCGGTAATTTCCGTACATCATACGTGATTCAATGTAATTCGAGGCATAATAGACGGTGGGTAGTCTAATGGGTAAGGTATTCCCGACTACACCGGGTTCGATTCCCCTCATGGGTACACCGGGGAAGCCCATTCCTGGGTTAGATTTTCGAAGCTCTCTTAGCAGTAAGATAGTCGTAAGTGCCATACATTAAACATTAATTCATGACTATCTTAGCGCTAAGAGAGCTTCGAAAATCTAGGCCCTGGTCTCCAGTGATATTTTCTTTGAGAGGTATTTTAGAAGTTGTATGATGAAGGAAAACCATATTCTATGGACAGTCAACTTTTCTTATTGCAATGAGTGCGACGTTCCGGCGTAGGTCCTATAACGCCGTTATCACTTGCTTGATACCCCATTCAACGTGGTTTAGATCAGTGAATGAGCGTTTGAGATTATATTCATACCTTTTCATTAAGAGAACCCTTCATTGTTCATTGGCTGAACGATCTACCATGTGCAACAGGAGAGCTACGGAGTAAACACCTTTGTGTGTGCGCGCACACAGCTGTTTCTCCTAGGTTTTTTTAAATTGATAGCCTACTAAAATACCATGTACCAGTTTAACATGGATAACTATCTCCGACTTCACACACGTTACACTAACTCCGAGCTGGCCAGGACTAGCCGTTGTGTCATTCCTCTGATGCCGAGCTTCAGCCAAGGTGACAACAAGTACCACCTTTCATTTTCTGTTGGTAAAACTACGGACCTCTCAGTTGGATCACAGAGACAGTCAAGGGATCACAGCGACAGTCAAGGGATCAGAGAGACAGTCAAGGGATCACAGAGACAGTCAAGGGATCACAGAGACAGTCAAGGGATCACAGCGACAGTCAAGGGATCACAGAGACAGTCAAGGGATCACAGAGACAGTCAAGGGATCACAGAGGCAGTCAAGGGATCACAGCGACAGTCAAGGGATCACAGAGACAGTCAAGGGATCACAGCGACAGTCAAGGGATCACAGAGAGTCAAGGGATCACAGAGACAGTCAAGGGATCACAGAGACAGTCAAGGGATATCACAGAGACAGTCAAGGGATCACAGAGACAGTCAAGGGATCGGATGACCGGCCTTCCCATGCCTCCGCACTCGATTAAACCATGGAGATTGTCAGGCAATCGAGCCATCGACCTTCCATTCGGCGGATTACTGCAGTTTTTGGATTTACAAAATGTTGTTTTTCCAGGTAAAAATTGAACAATATCATTAATGAGCTGGCATCGGGAGGATGTGTCTTGGTTGATTTGATAGAGGAACAGATGTATCTTTCACAAACACTCTTAATAGTTGTCAGTAATGGGGGGGCTAGAATCAGAACAGTGTTTTGAAATTTCACCCAGTCAGCTCTGCAGATTTATGCTTATGAGGCAAGTCTCGTGCCTGCTATATTATATTAAGCTACTAAATCAACTTCCGTTTATTTCAGTTTAACATATTTTATTCTCCTGAATTGAATTGGGTACAGGATATCACAACTTCGACAGATTTACGTGAATGCTTATGGGAGTTTTGAAATAGCCTGTCAAAATAGTCGATTTATGTGACAGATTGACTGAAACATGTTTTAATGAAACCGGCTGTGTATTTCAGTTGAAGCAATGACTAAACAGTTGTCACACCTTAGCCTGTGTCACCGTGACCACTTCCACAACAACACTCCTATAGCTATTACAGGTAGGGGTTATGATAGCGGTGTATGTGTTAGTCTCTCTCTCTCTCTCTCTCTCTCTCTCTCCTCTCTGTGGATCCGCCCCTACAATAGCCGCTGGGAAAACCATATGCGTATGAATGAGTTGGATTTAACTTTATATGGGATTTCCCATCTAATAGTGACTTGTTTACAATTTTACGCTTTCTATCAGGAAATATTTCAACACGTGTCGTATATATTATCCCTCATTGCTCAGCCAGTGATTTCTGCACCATTCATTAGCATACACGCACGCGTCTTGTGCCCTTAACACGTGTTGCTTCTTCACCCCGGAAGAACAAAGACAGTGGTTCTGTATCGCGGAGTGTTGCCGAACTGAACTAGTGTAGGTGAGGATCTAGCATTGAGTACTGCGTGTCTATAAGCCTAGATTTGTGTACTCACATTACACTGCTATAATTCGGTGTTTCGTTATGGGAGCATTACAGAAAGTTCAAGTTGTAGGTGGCGGGGCGTTGTTTATAGCTCTGTTGACAGTTGTCAGCTGTAGGTCCCCTAACGGCTTCTCGCCTCAAGGTGCACTGGCTATCGCTGACGGTGGGGACAGTAACAGTCATGCTGGAGGAAACGACGCCCACGGCGACCGCAACCGCAACGTTGAGGGCGACAATGAAACAGCGGGGTCGTCCAAAAACAAAACATATAAGGGTAAGATTTTTAATCATGTTAGTTGACGAAATTAAAACCAGTGCAGTGAAATATTTGCAGTATAGCACAAATAGTTTTGTTTGTTAAATATATATTGACGACAGATTGTGATTATGGAAAGATTTCGAAATTTCTGAAATGAGAATTCCGCCCTGTGCTGTATCAAACTTGGACCGACCCCCGTTCAGTGTACTCAATTCTACATTTACATACATGTTGCTTACTACAGTTGTAGACCCGTGAAGATCCGGGGTAGAATAGGTCTTCAGCAACCCATGTGCTTGCCATAAAAAGGCGACTATCTTGTCGTAAGAGGCGACTAACGGGATCGGGTGGTCAGTTTCGTTGACACATGTCATCGGTTCCCAATTGCGCATATCGATGCTCATGCTGTTGATCACTGGATTGTCTGGTCCAGACTCGATTATTTACAGACCGCCGCCATATAGCTGGAATATTGCTGAGTGCGGCGTAAAACTAAACTCACTCACTCACTACTACAGTTGTACCCTTGTCTGACAATCCTGCAGCAACTATGTCACTGTACTTCCTGCCATCTGTCCATCAAACACACTGTTATAGCGTATGTATATGAAAGCAAGGAAACTCTACGCGTTGGTTTGAGACTTTGCAATGTCTTTTCCTTGTGCATGGAAATAATGTTTTGGGCCCCTTTAAACACTAATGGCCTACGTTAGGAGATCAATATAGTATTAAGTAACAACTGCACAGGTTATAGCTTATCTGAGTAATCTGTAAATCTTGAATATAAAGCTCGGTGTTAGACGTGGTTTGTGTTTACTCCGCACTTTATGTCTTTCGTTATAAATGAATTAACAATTCAAATTGAAAATAACTGCAAAATTACTATCCAACTGCCCCCGGATATGTATTTCTTTTAACAGATGATATTTTAATTTAAAGTTAATTTTAAGTATCGGTCTGCAGATGTTTAAGCACAGCTAAGTATACTAAGTATACTATGATATATTTATATGCTTGGTGGTCAAACTATATTTCTGTCTTTAGAATATTTGATGTTAGGATTAATCCAATGCTTCTATGTGGGGTAGAAATTTGTTGATTTACTCATTGGAGGGTAGTCCATTTCTTGGTGTAGAAACACATGCAGCTGAAGTTATGGTATATTGTGAATGTGGCAGTTTACTCTGAAGAAAGAAAGCTTTCAACAAGTGTGAAAGACTTATTGTTTAAGGTTGGCTTGTGACCTGGTGTGTACCGTACTAAACATCCTTTAAGCTGCTCTCTTTCATTTTATGTCTCTGTAGTGAACGACGCCTTGCCTAACGCCTCTGTGGATATTGGAGGCGACAGTAAAAACGATGATGTTGAAAACGACACCCATGGCATAAACCACGACGATGGCCCCAATGAAACCGTATTTGGTTCGTCTACTAACAAAGGTATGTTTTCCATAAGTTCGGTAACGCTGAGAGACAATACATAACAGTGTTGGTGTTTCTTCAGCCTGGTTCCGTGCAGGCGCAACAGACCCAGGGAACCAGACTGGTGTTTCTTTTGTTTTTGATTTTTATGTAGTTGGGGAAAATTCTTTTTCATCTTCTGTTGTTAAACATAATGAAGAAATGTGATAATTATGAAAAAAGGTTTCGATTTTCCTGTAAATAAAGAAATCGTCCCTGTGCTATATCAAACTAAGACGACAAACTATGCACATGTATTGTATTGTATCATATATTAGGAGCAGCGTAGTTCACCACCACATGGGGCGGTGGGGTAGTCTAGAGGGTCCGCTCGTCACGCCGTAGGGGTTCGATTTCCCACATGGGTACAGTGTGTGATTGTGGTTTGTTGTTTTACGCCGCACCCAGCTATATGGCCGCGGTCTGTAGATAATCGAAACTAGACCGGACAATCCAGTGATCAACAGCATGAGCATCAATCTATTGGGATACAGTGCATTGCTGGAATATTTCTAAAAGCGTCGTAAACATGTGCTGACTCACAACTATTTCATCCATGCCAGGACACATGACAGGACCTTTCTAGGCATGCATGAGTGTACTCTCCACCGATCGTATACAGTGTTTTACCCAGGTTCGAATCCCTGCACTGTGTGAGTCCCAGTACGTTGTGATGTTACTGGAATATTTCTAAAAGTGACCTAAAACCACTGACCCACTAGAGAAGATAGCACAAGTTAGTATGTAAGGTATAGTGTTTATTGCACGGGTCGGCAGTGATATTACACTCCGGTGGTTAATTTCCGGGTCAGGATAGGATAACCCCACTTGATTGTCATTGCACCTGCCCAAGGTCGCCCTAAAACCTTATATACATACATACATACATTGCACCTGCTGTATCGAGGGGAAGTAACTGTAACGCGATGACATAGATGTAGCCTATGTGTGGGGTCACGGGACCAGACATGATTATCGAAGTCGGGTGTGGCATAGATTGAATATGGCTGATTGGAGCGTCGAACAATTGCGCTCATTCCCACGTGGAGTCTTTGTTTATCTATTATTTAAACACATGTCTTGTTTGATTACATAATAGATGCTTCGTGTTCTTTTGGAATAGTTCAATGCGTAACGAATGAAGTGGCACTATAACATCAATGCCTCACTCCCCTCTCTTCTAATTTCAAAATCATCAACCAATAGCAATAACATCAAACACTGTTACCCCCCTCCCCCTGGTGCTGATAGTTTGTTAAATGACCATTGAAACTCGGTTGAAAATGAAATGTGCACCCCTCCTTTTCTCAATAGTGTGCAAACAACAAACACACACACACACACACACACACACACACACACACACACACACACACACACACACACACCCTCTCAAAAAGCTGTTTCCGCCCCTGATATTTCAGTCGAAGACACGATTGTTACTAGCGGTCGCACACAAGATCGTCTCGATCTTTCGGCGTGGTTTGCGCTCACCAACATCAGGTTGGTCGGTGGCGTCATTTTGAAGTGCAACTGATCTTATCCAATGAGAGAACACCATTTGGGCAGATGGTACAATGTATATTTAAATCCAAATCATGGAAAGCTAGTGGAGGTCTTGCGAGTTCAGTTGAATCAGCACTTCCTACATGAATACCCCCGGCATTCTTGTGCGACAGTGATAAATGTTGCGACAACCACATGTGCAGCGGGACATTGTTTACAAATCGAAAACCGGACAATTCATATGTTAGCATGGCAAACTTTCCAAGATCTCTTTTGCATTTAGCTGGTGATATTGAAGTAAACCCAGGCCCAACAAATACAGAGTGTGATGATTTAAAAGATGCTATAATAAAACAAATAAAAGAGTCGGAATATAAACTGTCTAAAAGCATCAACTCGCTGAAAAATGATTCTCTCTATGAAAGAATTAAGAGATTTCTGGACTGTGGAAAGAAGTAGATAGCACTAGAGACGAGCAAGCTATTATACGAGCAGATATCTCCGCGCTGGCAGATAAGATGCTAGACACTGAGGGTGTCCGACAGTATGTAGAGGAGCTATAGGTAAAGATAGAAAACCAGGAGAGACAGAGTAGAAGAAAAAACATTATTCTATACGGTATCCCTGAAAGTGCACAAGATTCATATAGAGTGTGTAAGGAGAAAGTGCTTGTGTGTAAGGAGAAAGTGCTTGTGTGTAAGTGCTTGTGTGTAAGGAGAAAGTGCTTGTGTGTAAGGAGAAAGTGCTTGTGTGTAAGGAGAAAGTGCTTGATGTCATTAATACAGCCAGAGAAAGCTCAGACACATCACTTTCTTTTCTTTCCCCTGGGGATGTTGAACGGGCACACCGTATAGGAGCAAAACACCACGACAAACCCAGGCCAGTGATTGTGAAGCTCCTGCAGTGGGAGGATAAGATGCAAATTACAGGTCAGAGAGACAGTTTGAGACAAATGGGCTATGGTGTTGCAAATGATCTAACAAATTTTCAACGTAATGAACTGAATAAACAGAGACAGGAAAACACCGATAAACACTTCTATTATAAGGGAAATATAATAATGGAGAGCGTGAGACGTGATGGTAGAAGTGAAAGTTCGAAACAGGATAGGAATAGACAGAGTGATGTGAGGTCAACTTATATGAGCCAGGAGACAAGGGGTGCTACAGGTCGAGACCCCGGACCTAGTCCAAACAGTAGGATGGACGGCGAGGCCAGTTTCCCGCGATTCAGTTCAGTGTCACGTGGCAGGAACACTGACAGAGCATCTCATTCTGACTTGAGTGGAGAACAGAACGATGTGAACCAGAAGGTATCTGGTACAGGGCGGTCATCTCAAACTGACCGTAAGCTCCGGGAGAGGAGTAGAGCATGACGCAACAATAAAGTGAGATAGGGGTGTGGCCAGGGCCATCATGACTGTAAGACGCTTCAGCCAATAGCAAGTGTATGTAAAGGATGCTGAAAAATATCAGAATCAGGTAGACTCTCTGGTGGTGTTATTGTGCTTGTTAAGAAATGCATATCACATTATGTCAAGGATGTTGATATATTTGATTCTGGAATTATGTTAGTATTTGACAAAAGTCTTTTTGGTTTTAAGAAAGACCTATTGTACACATGTGTTAACATACATCCAGAGGGCTCATCATGGTACTCCCAGGTTAATGCAGACAGAGATTATATAAATGGTATACTTTTTCTTCAAGAGAAGCTTTGTGATTTTCTCATGAAATATGATGATGTTCATTTCTTTATTGGTGGTGATTTTAATGCACGGACTGGAGTGCTAGATGATTTTATAGAAGATGATATTATTGAATATGTAGAGAATGATGAACGTTGTCTGTGGGATTTTCTGTTAGATAATTTCTCTATGAAGAGATACTCAGTTGATACCTATGTGAATATGTTTGGTAAATGTGTATTGAACATGTGTTCAATGCTAAATATCCATATAATGAATGGTAGATGTGGTGGAGATCAGGGCCTAGATGATTATACTTTCAGTGATCATAATGGGGCCGGTCTAATCGATTATGTTAAATGCTCCCCCGCCATATTCTCCTTTTGTAAAACCGTTGATGTATATTCACGCACAGAATCATCGGCGTGGATTTACGTACGCTTCGTAACACTGCGTGTCATGGAGAGACGGAATCCAAACCATTTGTTTATAAGTTTCAATGGGATGATACAAAGGCAAATGTGTTCAGACATAATCTAGAGTCAGAGTGTTTTCAAAATGTGTTAGATAACTCTTTAGATATTGCTTTTACAAGTACAAATGTATTGAAGAGAGTATTGAGTATATGTCCCAAGGCTTATGTAAGGCAGCTCAGTGTATGCAGAGACGCGTTTGTTTTAATCCTACAGATAGTAAACCCTGGTTTGAAGCTGAATGTGAGCTAGAAAGAAGGAAAGATGTAGGGCTTTAAATAGGGTCGTCGCCAATCATGGATGTTCGATGCCAAGATGGTTGTTGCTTGCCAGTCAATGGAGTGTGATGGATTGTTCACAATGTGTTCAGAGAGGGCTGACTTTAGATCCAATTTCTCTACTGAGGTTTTGTGCTCTTTGAGCCTGATGTCAATGGGGCGGGATGTTTCTCCAACATAGCTGCTGCCACAATCACACATTAGCTTGTAGATACAACCCCTGGGCTTGTGACTGGTGTTGGTTGAGGTACATCTACCATTGGCCTTCAAAATGGTTTCTAGCGTTTTGTCCGAGCTGAAGGTCACATCTATGCCGGCTGTTTTCTTGAGCAGTCGGCTGATATGGTGGCTGATCTGACCTTGGTAGGGGATGTTTACTCTGATCGGGGATGGGTCAGGCCACCCGTGCTCTCTGTCACAATCAGAACTACTACTACCACAACTACTGCAATGAATGTTGCAATTAGGTGTCACTTGTTTCCTATACTTCCAGGTACATCCGGGACATCTGCTCTCGTCTTCTCGTCCGCCATCTTGGCTTGCTTTCTGGCATCACGCTTAGTTCCAACGTTAATCACGTGAAATTCCTGTGTAGTTCTGAAGTCATCATGCCCTACCTCCTTGAAGGTGGGGATTCCCCGGCGCCGGAATGCGTTGAGCAACACTCTGCGCAGGCCACCACTGAAGGCCGTGTTACAGGGAACTTAAAAGTATGGCTGCGACCGCTATCTTTGTTGACACTGGCAAGCTCGGATGTAACGGCGGCTTAGCTGATTGGCTACTGTGAGATGCGGAGCCAGCAAAGGGAGGTAATATAATTATCGGGCCAAGCCGTGGATGCATCCAGGGTATAGTGGAGAGTGATCGTAACGCAACCCTGGAGATTATCGAGGATGATGACTACAGAGGACTCTAAAATTTTAGCAGAACACGTTTCTGCGAAACCGTTACAGGATCAGTTAGTAGGTTCTTGTATAGGCTACAAATATTCACAGAATACTTAAAAAAACATTAGTGATAGGCAGAATACGTTTCAGCGGAAAATGTCACAGGGTCGGACAGTAGGTGTTTGTATAGGTTACAAATATTGACAGAATACTTCAGAGAACTAAAATGATAGGCACTATTTGTTACAGAATCGGACAGTAACTGCTTGTGTAGGTTACAATTATTGACAGATAGGTTACAATTATTGACAGATAGGTTACAATTATTGACAGAATAAGTATCATCTGCCACTCTAGTTGAGCGTTAAGGTAGCCTACTGGATACAGCGTTCGCTTGTCACATCACGTCGACACAAAAGTGGGAACGAAAGGCGCTGATAAGGTACAGTTGCTAATGTTTGGTTATGCTTCAAAACAAAAGTGGGAACGAAGGGCGTGGTTGAGTGACAGTCGCTAGTGTTGGCCTATGCTTCAAAGCAGAAGTGGGGACGAAGGGCGTTGATAAGGCACAGTTGATAATATTGACTTATGCTTCAAGACAAAATGGAAGCGTTAATTTGTTGACTTTCCAAGATGCTGCGGCTCAATCTTGGAAACGTGTGTAAATGTTAAACATCGTATTCATCGGCATGGATAGTAGCCATGGTTTGTGTGCTTCAAAATATCCGAAGGTGTCATTCGTTGTAATCCTTATTTTCAAATGTGAGTGTGTTTGTGTTTTATATCATACCTACGGGCTTAAGACTGTATACACTTAAAAATTGAATTTTACTCCAAAGTTACAGCTATAATCTTTGGCTTAAAACTCTCGTCGAAACAATGCAAGCTGAAGGTCCAAAACACTATTATACCTTTACGAAACACTTCACCACTGAATAACCATTAACTTTTTTGTTGGTTTCGCTTTAGTATCCATTAAACATGGAGACGGTGGCCTAGTGGTTAAAGCGTTCACTCGTTACGCTCAAGACCCGTGTTCGATTCCCCACCTGGGTGTAGTGTGTGAGCCTATTTCTGTTGTCCCCCGCCGTGATATTGCTGGAATATTGCTAAAAGTGGCTTAAAACCATACTCACTTCATGAAACATCGATGTATACTTTCTTTGGCCTGGTGTTGTCTTGTGTTACTATGTGATTTTGTCCTGTGTGTTTGTTCCATCCTATTCGTGTGATGCATTGTTCCCAAATTTCTGGATAAAATTGTTGAAGTATTTGAGCCTCTTATGTGGTGTATATAAGACCATGCATAAAAAACAACTTGTGTAGAAAGTAATCACAAGCTTGAGCATACTCACAAGGTGTTGAGGTGAAGGGTTAGGTGTTGACATACACGCAGGTTTATTGTTGAGAATCCTTATATTTTACTTGAGAGACATGGTGTTGAGATTTTTTGATTTTTTTGATTTTTTATCATCAGGTGTTTGCATACATACAAGTTGTTCAGATTCGTACTGGAAATGTACATGTGGACTGATATGTAGTTAACGCGGCTCTCGCCTATAAGATGACGGTATGTAAATAATCGAGTCTGGCACAGACATTCGGGTTATTAAGATCAACAGCAGCAGTCTATGCACCTTATATGATGGCATGCATATCCATGTTGGCAAGTAACACATCTCATTCCGTTAGTCGCCTTTTACGACAGACGTTTCGCATGTGAAAAGAAATCTTAGGGTTGGTCTCTCTACCATAATTTCTAAGGTTTATGGTAAGTGTGTAGGTATCGTCTAAACATTGTATAAAACATTAGATGCCTTTTGTTCTGGTTAAAACAAGGCATTGATATGCATTACCAACGTCTACCAGAAAATATCCTACAATTTGCTTTTAGATGAGCAGTATGGGTAAGTAATTACATCAGACGCAAGAAGCCATATACATTCATATTGTCATAGCGTTGTTTGGTTGTTCTAGACGTCAGAAGCCATATACGTTCATATAGTCATAGCGTTGTTTGGTTGTTCTAGACGTCAGAAGCCATATACGTTCATATAGTCATAGCGTTGTTTGGTTGTTCTAGACGTCAGAAGCCATATACATTCATATAATCATAGCGTTGTTTGGTTGTTCTAGACGTCAGAAGCCATATACGTTCATATAGTCATAGCGTTGTTTGGTTGTTCTAGACGTCAGAAGCCATATACATTCATACAGTCATAGCGTTGTTTGGTTGTTCTAGACGTCAGAAGCCATATACATTAATACAGTCATAGCGTTGTTTGGTTGTTCTAGACGTCAGAAGCCATATACATGCATATAGTCATAGCGTTGTTTGGTTGTTCTAGACGTCAGAAGCCATATACATGCATATAGTCATAGCGTTGTTTGGTTGTTCTAGACGTCAGAAGCCATATACATGCATATAGTCATAGCGTTGTTTGGTTGTTCTAGACGTCAGGAGCCATATACATTCATATAGTCATAGCGTTGTTTGGTTGTTCTAGACAGTTGGTAATAATTATATTTTCTTGAAAGCATTCCGGGAGCGCTCTAAAATATACTTTCTCAAAATTGTTATCCAACGACCTGAATCCAACCGATATTGTCATTTAACCTAAAACACTTTCGTAGAAACCTCTGGAAAAATACGTGGATTAGTAATATAGTGAGAGGCGAAGTCAAATACTGGGTAGACCTTCTTCCATGTCACCTGTACTATATGTGCATCAGTACCTCTCAGCTGCAGTCTGCAGCTCTCCTGTCGTTCACAGCTGAGAACAAACATGACATAAACATTCACTTAATGAATGGGTCTACATAATATCGAACAGACTCAGTGACCACAGCTATGTTGTGTTTTGTGTGGGAAATCCCTGCTACCACTACAGCAATGTGGTTGTTGTTGTTGCTGTTCACCCGGGAGTAGCTCATCAGCATGTGACGCTAACAAAGACGTGTTTGTAGGAAAGGCATTGTAATAAACTGCGACAGTCCTACAGATATCACCGACAATAACACTGGTTTCTGGGACGCCATACATTAGACATAGCCACAGTGCTTATATTTAGCCCTATACAATACCGGGTGTACAAACGCTTGTGGATTTAACACACTTTATCACAAGGCACCTGGGATTCATGTCACGTGACCTCTAGTTATACCAGCAATACGGTCACGGGCACGTGAGAGGAACTCCCTGACTCGGTTGTCAATATTGCTGCACACGCGCGCGCAACACACTCCCTCCCTCCCTCCCTCCCTCCCTCGCTATCTACCTACCTATACCTACCTACCTACATCCCCACGTCATGGTCACACAATGTTTGACACCGTGACAGTGAAACCATACCTACCTACACCCCTACGTCATGGTCACACAATGTTTGACACCGTGACAGTGAAACCATACCTACCTATATCCCTACGTCATGGTCACACAATGTTTGACACCGTGACAGTGAAACCATACCTACCTATACCCCTACGTCATGGTCACACAATGTTTGACACCGTGACAGTGAAACCATACCTACCTATATCCCTACGTCATGGTCACACACTGTTTGACACCGTGACAGTGAAACCATACCTACCTATATCCCCACGTCATGGTCACACAATGTTTGACACCGTGACAGTGAAACCATACCTACCTATATCCCTACGTCATTGTCACACAATGTTTAACACCGTGACATTGAAACCATACCTACCAATATCCCTACGTCATGGTCACACAATGTTTGAAACCGTGACAGTGAAACCATACTCACTCACTCACGGATCAAGGCCTGGTTTTCAAGCTATACTTATATCTACACCAAAAAGAAGAAGTGGGAAACATCTTGCCGAAGCAGACGATACTTTCTGATTCTGGATCAGACGTCTGTAATGACTGCAGGCGAGTAGTTTCCTCCGGAAAGACACGCGTGTGAATGGACTACTAGGATGCTGAAGCCAACAACGGGTCACCCTTCGTATAGTGAAGGTCACAACCAGGTCTAACCGCTCCCTAGATAGCATTCAGACGATGGCCCAACGTTGGCAATAGTTTTGCCATCATTGGGCCAACGTCTGAATGCTATCTGGGTCCTTGCCTAAATTGGGCAATGGTGGCGACAGTAACAGAGATGACGGTGAAAACAACACAATCCAAAATCAACGATAACGGCGACAATGGAGGATGAAATTACACGGTCGCCCTAAAGCAAACACTAAAGCGACGGACGGGATCGGGTGGTCAGGCTCGCTGACTTGGTTAACACGTCATCGTATCCAAATCGCGTAAATTTGATGCCATGATTGCAGAGGTTCAGGCTCGAATATTTACAGTCCGACGCAAGTTGGTGTGTGGTGTGTGGTGTGTGGTGTAAGGTGTGTGTTGGTTTGGTGTTTCTTTGCAGGGGTGCACACCACCCCCTTTGCCCTGAAAGTGTATTACATGACCACTGACACTCTCATGAAAACGGGTTAAAATAAACTGTGCACCCTCACAACATCCACCCCAACCCCTTTCTCAAAAAGCTGTATGCACCCCTGTGTAATCAGCATCATTGATCTTCCTTTTGCGGGGTTATTTCCTTTGGGGCTATTTTAGCATATCGTCACTGATCCGCCAACGCCAGAATCCCCCCGACAACTGATGAACAACGTGTTGCATTCTGCGACCTTGACTCAATGCTATACGGATATTTTCATTCCACGTCATTCCTTTCCCGGCCACTTCGCTGCCTGAGAGGTTACAGAGTGAACTTCCTTGTCCTGTCTCTGTTTCTATAAGTAGAGCGACAGAGACACGGGATGAAACACGACAACTCATTACCAG